AAATTGATCTTTATAATAACCTTTGAGTGAATCATTAAGCCATTTAGCTGTGAGGTAAGTTGATGAATTCACGAATGATACTACTGGACGTATGGGCATATCTTTAAAATCATCTGATTTATGTATTTTTAGAAGACCATATAAACGTGGTATTAACTTATGATCTGGTTTAAATCTGTTAAATAAAGACTCTGTTATCAAGGATTTACTATTTTTGAGAACATTTTTAAATTTCAAGTTATATTTATTGAGAGGGTTAGTAATTTTTTTTTCAAAATCGTTATTATCAAGAAAGGTATATGCTTTAGAAAGGTAATCAAATTTATTTAAAATTACTAAACAATTACCCTTATCTGCTTTAGTAAAGATTAGATCGTTATCTTTGATCTTTTTAGAAATGTTTTTTATCAACTTGTCATTAGAAGTGTCTGTACCAAGTTTATTAGTTTTAAGTAATGATTCTTTTTCTTTTTTAAAAACGTTGATTAAACTGATTCTCAATTCTTCTTTGTTTTCTAAGGTAGTATTTTGAAGAATTGATTCAGTTTCCACTCTTAAGGACCACCCTTGTTTTATTTACCTCTTTTTTGAATATATAACTCACACATGGCTACTACCTTCAACTTTAATCAAATCGATTGTTGGAAACAAAACATTCAAAATTGCTTTTAAAAAGTGTAATAAAATAAACATTTGTTTAATTTTGTGTAACATTAAAAATATCTGGTTAAGTACTTGGTCCCTATGAGAAGTAAAAAAAACAGACAATCTGATAAAATGTTTATAAAAGTTCCTCAAAATATAGACCTAGAGATTCAAAAACGATAGTGGGATAAGGGCTGTTGCAAAATACAAACCACCTTTTGCGATATATTTAAAAATATATTTTATTTAATAAAAAGATACTTTCATCCAGTAAACAGATAGGTGAAGGTCGATCTTATTTCGGATCTTAGACTATAATCTAAAATGGCGTAATTAGTAAGGGGCGGAAATGAGCCGGGTATTTTGGTTGACCGTAACCGTGGGCGGAGATGAGCCGAAAAAGGTTGCGGGCGGAGATAAGCCGGGCGGAGATGAGCCTATATCGTTTGATCAACAGTTTATCACCCTAGTGATTATTTTGCCTTTTGCCAAAATATTTTTTAGACCGATATAGGTTTATGTTTATAATTTTTTTTGTTTTCCTATAGGTATCTTTTTTGTAGAAATTTTTAATAAAATATTTTATGAAATTATGTTTCAATTTAATAAATATCTATACATAATTATTAAGGTCAATTAATAAATAAAAGCGTTTATAATAAAGAACTAAAAAAATAATTTTAGTAGTTTTTTCGTAATATGCAAGTAAGCGTCTCAGAAACGTCAGATCTGCAGCAGTGTCACAGCTTATACAATACAGCTCCACAACTCCGTGTCGGCGTCTTTGATCTGGCGGTCGAGAACCAAGCAAGACGGAATGGTGCTATCTCTGTTAGATTAAAGGGAAAAGTCGGGCCCGGATTAAGCAATTTTTTTATTATTGAAAAAATTGAAAACCTTGACGTAATAAGGTTGGTTACATGTCATGTTAAGTAGGTTTTGGGAAATTAAATTTTTAATTTGTTTTAAATCTGTCAAATATAATTAAAAAAATTATTTAAATATAAATATTACGAAAAATAGCACATCTTTCGGATTAGAGGTAAAATAATTTGTATGTGGCTAGTAAAATCCTCGTTAACAAATGTTTTGAGCTAAAACAGTCACTTCACGACAAATTGAGCACGACGTCGTATGCGGAGTACTCAATCGTCTGCTTGTGATATGAACAATCCACTCGATATGGTCAGTATATTTTTTCTACGACCCACTAACGAAAATCTACAAATTTAAAAAAATATTTTAGGTTATTTAGACAAAATAACTAATTTTAAAATAATTTACGAAGTTGACTAATTTATAAAATAAAATAAACATGAAAAATTAATTAGTCCTCGGCCTAGATTCGATCCCGGGCTTTTCGCATGGAAGGCAGATGTTCTGTCCTCATCTTCACCGAAACTTTCAGGACTTTAGTTTTAATACTCGTAATTAAATTAGTATCATGTAGTTTGATTAAAATTTATTTTTTTTTAATTGTGGACCTAATAAAAACAAAAATGCTATTATTTATCGAGTCTACACAAAAATTTTAATGTATATTTAATATCAATAACTAAAATATATATTGACAATTAGTTTAACATAATTATCACTTATTTAAAAATTTTTAAATAATAGGAGTTGGGTGACCAAAATATGAACTGTGATTTGTAGATTTAATTTTGTTAAAGTGTTCTCACTACCTAAAATGGATATGAAATATATTCGTACTTGAACGCAATAACATAATTTTTCGTTTTGTAGTATGTGCGTAGATTGGCTAATATCCATGCACAGATTACAAAACGAAAAAGTATGCTATTGCCTTCAATTGAACGAATATATTTCATATCCATTCTAGGTAGTGAGAACACTGCAAAAAAAATAAATTCGCCAATCACCGTTCATATTTTGATCAACCGACTGCTATTATTTTTAAAATTTTAAATAAATGACAATTCTGTCAAACTAATTGTCAGTATATTTTTTAGTTATTGAGATTAAACATACAATAAAATAAGTTATTCTTTTGGAAAACGTTAGCATGGATGACTAAAGGGTATTGGGTTAATTAATTCTAAAAGTGTGGTACAAATGTTATTTTTTGTAGCCAATTCTTCAAAATTATTTTAAAATATCTTTTCAATATTGAATATTAGTTCTACAAATTCATCATTTGACAGTTGAAGATTTCCAAATGTATCTGAATTGGCGTTATCATATGCCTTTTAAAAGCAATAAAAAGAAAAATCGTCTAATTCAACGTGATCTTTGTTATATTTAAGACAGGTATCGCAGGAGTGGATCCGCAAGGTTTTTATTAAACACATACCTGACATAATTTTTCTGTAGCAATTCGTCTTTACAATAATTTAGGGTGTTAATAATTTCATCATAAAATAAAATACAAGGTGTTCCATTTAAAAAACATACATTTTAATTTTCCAGGCAAAAACGTGACACCCTGTATATCCAAAGATATTTTTAAAATATGTAGGTATTTTTCAAATCCATATAACTTTTATTTAAAACTTTCTTGCGTGTCTACAACAAAATAATGAACAATAACGCACTAATGAGACACCCTGTATAAATTATATTTTTAACAATGAAAATTTCTTATAATGTAGTACTTATCGGTTTGGGTCCTTGGGAAAACTAAAGAATGTTTTCTTGCAGGTATAACCCTTATTAAAACAGCTTTTGACTGCACAAACTCATTCTACTCACAGCTAAAGAGTCACCAAAATAATAACAGTACCTTTAACTCAAACAAAATCAACGAAATTATAGGCTCCACGAAATTATACAATCAACGAAATTATACGCACGACTCAACACCTTGCCTAAGTACGCTTCTGAACGCCAAAACCGTCTTTTCCCTTCGAAGGCGGAGCTTAAGCGATGCGCGACGAAATCGACGCAAACCGTTGCCGCCAAGAGAGTGTTTTAGCTGTATTGTATAAGCTGTGGCAGCGTTACGAAAATTTAACCTGTCTGGTTAGAGATTAAACGGCAAGTAGATCCTGGAGACATGGTCAATATCAATGCGACGTTGCTAAGTAGTTATTATCTTGGGTAAAACTAAATACATTTTTCGATTTTTAGTATTTTCAGGTTTACAAAAAAATACACTTTGTAGAAACAAAAATAGTTGAAATAAACATTATATTTTTTGAATAACAATACGGCTACAGACTCTTTTTTTACGTTTTGTTTTGTTAAAATATTAAAAATGCTTTTTTTGATAAATCAAAATTTTGACCCCGTAGCCCCATTATGCACGACTCCACAAATATGCATGCCAAATTTCATAAAAAAATATAAAAAAATAGGCCTGGAATCTTAGAATTACTCATGGATAACGCTCTTATCTGACAAGCATTACAATACAAGGTTGCCACCCATCTTTAGGGGGCAAGATAATATAATTACGGAAGTGGGAACCTTCTTAGGTAGTTTGTATCTTTTTGACTGTGAAGCGCCATACATTTTTAATGGGGTTGAACCCCATAAAAAAACATTTTTGTTGTTGATCCACTCTCTTACTATTTTATCCGCATGAGCTGGATAATTATCCTGTAACTAAAATCAATTGTTATAAACTGGGTTTTGTCAGCTATACTGTATAGTATGTTACTGAGATTTCGAGTAAATTAAATCAGGTAATAAAAAATTATTAAACTTTGATTATTGATTTATAAAAACATTGTTTATGATAAATTATTGATACATTAAAATAGGTTTTATTCAAAATTGTTTTATCTAAAACACAAATAACATTTACTACTTAACATTTATTAATAAATAATGTTTATTTACAATACATTAATATACTTAAAAAAAAATAAATACAAAATTTATATATCGACACGGGAATAACAATTTAATTAATTTTTTTATATCTTGCGCACAGCGGGTAAAATTTACAAAGTGTGTTCGAGTGACCCATCATTTACATACACATATAATTTTATTTGCAACTATTTTACTGATATAAATGTTTATACATTACGTTCTTATACGCATTTCAGGCGAGCGCCTGATTAATAGCCAAAGTAGAAAAACGCCCCCTATAAAGCTATCTATAAAGTACTCCACAGATGCTCCGACTAGGTTTAAAATGTAATCAGATCATCACAGGATAGATGATAGCTTAAGTTTAAAATTTTGAGTTTTTCCCTTTGAGGTATCGTGAATACAGACTGGCACATACACACAGACATACATCATCCCGAAAATCATCAACACGGATTCAGGGGATCCTAAAACGTAAAGATTCATCGAAAACTCGAAAAGTCACAATTCTATTACTTTACTGGTTACAGATTTTAATTTGTTTTTTTCAAATATGGCATCATTATGGATGCTCAAGATGCTAAATCGATTTTCAATTTATAACTATTTTCTGCTATAGCTGTTAAGTTAACGGCCGTAGCTCTTCCAGTTTGTTGCACTAAGGAATAGAATATACCCTGCTTATCCTGCAAAAGAGTATGAGGATGGTCGAATTCTACAGATCTTCCAGCATCCATAACCAGAACCTTATCAGAATCCATGATGGTATGCAGCCTGTGGGCTATAGTTAGCACCGTACAATTAGCGAACTTTTTCCTAATAGACATTTGGATTAAGGCGTCAGTGTGCGGATCTACGTTAGCTGTGGCTTCATCTAAGACTAGAATTCTATTATTTCGTACTATAGCTCGAGCTAGACAGACAAGTTGTCGTTGGCCCACGCTGAAATTCGAACCACCTTCTGCCATTTTGCTGTCCAGACCTGCTGGTAATTCGTTTACAGCGTGCTTGAGTTCTACTTCGTCCAGTGCATTCCAAAGATCCTAAAATTAAATGAATTTAAGAAATAGATTGCCAACATGTTTGGAAATGATTACTTACCGCATCTTTATACTCATCAAACGGATCCAAATTTTTTCGTAAAGTTCCAGAAAATAGCACAGGCTCTTGGGGTATAATAGCAATTTCGGATCTAAGTTTCTTTAAAGAAACTGTTTTGGTATCAACACCATCAACAAGAATCTTCCCATCTATATAGGCCAATCTAAAGAGCGCCTGGATCAAAGAAGACTTTCCAGCACCTGTTCTACCAACAATACCAACTTTTTCTTTTGGTTTTATGAGAAAACTGAGATTTTTAAGCACAGGTGGATCGTCTGGTGAGTACTGTAAAGACATATCGCTGAATTCTACTTCGCCCTTAGAGGGCCAGCTGGCTGGGGGTTCGTAAGTTGTACTTTCTTCTTCTTGCTTTAAGTCTGCGTATTCTTGGACTCTTTCTACGGACGTCATCTGGTTTTCTAGCTCACTCCATTGTCGCATACCCCATTGGAACATACCAGTGAGACCCATAGCTTGAGTTAGAGCTAGCCCCATATTGCCACCAAATTGTTCTTGAAAAAGAATCAAATATTCCACAAACTATAGTCAAAGTATAATAAAAGACACTTACCACTTTTGAGAAACAATAAAGCAACAATTACCAAAGCAATGTATATCACGCAAATAAAGTCCAACCAAAAACCGAAAGTCCTATTGGCGCCAAGGTACATAAAGAATGCAGCACTGTGTAGGTTTTGGTACTTGTCAAATTCATTTTTAAGTATTTCTTGAGCCTTAAACGCTCTTATAGTTGTTAAACCAGTCAACGAAGCTGTGAGGTGAGTGTAAATTGGACTTCGAGCTAAAAGATACATACAAAGTTATTGCGACTAGAAATTTTAATAATAAAAAACTTACTAACTGATTCAACTCTTTTGACATCCCTACTGGTTTCGAGAAAGATAACTCTCATGACGTAGAAGAGGATACCGATCAATATGGTGGGAATCATGATCCAAACTGTTAAACTGCCTATTACCAAAGTGATGCCTGCGACACTCAGACCAATCTGGAAAATACGAAGATTATAATCCTGTAAACTAGTGATAATTTATATTAGTTAAAATGTGAACAAATTATTTCACGAGAAGTTATCATTTAAAAATTAAATCGAGGTACAACTGATACAAGTTAAAACAAAAAAAAAAACAAACTGACTAATGAATTTATATATTTCATGGCGTATGCACCCAAAGACTGTTTATATTAACAACATAAAAATCACGTCTCAATAAGCCATATTTGGAAGTAGGTGTTAGTTTCAAAATCGTACCTATGTAAGCATTATTAAAATAAACAATCGAAAATACAAAATACAAAATCATATTTTTCTCTGTATCCTGTATTTTCTTCAATCTGGCTGTGTACACACAGACTTTTTATTACTAATTCATATAAATTTAAACAGTAAATTGAATAGTTAACTGATTAGGCCGATGTACGTATTATGTATACAACATTGATTTGGTCCAGCATCGAAAAGGTTCTAATGTGAGTCTACGGTACGCTCGTCAAAATGCTAACATGGCCCTACTTTATTTTAATTATCTCTCTTATTATTTAAGATAAAACTATGGTTTGACAATCGTTAGAATCCTTAATTTTTTATCTAGTTACATTTTTACGAATTTTTACACAGTTTTTATGATATCGGCGTATATAAATAAAAAATCGGTAAAATAGGCAGTTTACGACCAAACAAATTTGAAATTTTTTGCCTAACAGAATACAAAAAAAAATTCTCTAAGGATAATTTTTAATTTATAAACATATATTAAACTTTTTGGACAACCTATGCCACTTAAATCTAAAAATCAAAAACTTTTTCGACAACTCACATAATTGTATCTATAAAATGCCAACGAAAATCTAAACTAAGCGATTTTAGAGGTACCATTTTTGTAGGTGCGTCAGGAGACAAGCGACCACTGAGACGACCCCAAGGTCGAGTAAGACGACAGATGTATAAATGTTACGCTTGGTACATTTCTCAAGCTTGAGAAGTGTCGCGCGACACTTACAGGATAACCATTCGAGGAAACGATCAGCGTTGCCAGACCTACTGTTTTCATGTAGATCCACTGTTTTTGTCTCTAGCAAATTTTGTTCTTAATTTAATAAGTTTGCCTCATTCTTCAGCAAATGGTTAAAGAATAGTTTCTGCAGTAAAAGCAGCGTAATAAGCATCCACTACTCTAGGTTGGCTCCATAAAAAAAAACATCAAGATAATCATTGTTTTTATTTAAAATGAAACAAAGAACTAATAGGGCATCATAAAAAGAACATGCACACTACGATTTTGAATTATCTGATTCAGACTGATCTAAAAGAAGTAGGTAGAGTACGATTCAACTAAGAAAAAGCCACACACATCATACCTGACAAAGACCGCAATAATTTGCCTCTCTCTCAGGTGATTTTTGTCGTTTTTCTAATATAGAGACACAATTGCTTAATAATTTGGCAACGCTGTACGACTGCCGCATGGTCCAGAATATAATTCGAACAGAAGCTATCGCGTAAACATGTATCCCTTATTATTGTGAGCCAAATTTCGGCGTTGCCAAGCTTTTACTTACGAACAAAAATACGGGTTCATCGGAAGAAAGTGAAGACAGCGAGAGTACTATACTCTGTTTTTAAACTAGGAGGAGCGAATTGAAAAGACGCATTTACACAGGGAAAAGTAACTAGATTTATTACTAAGAGCGAGTTTCGAAATATAATCGTGTTCAAAATTTATGAAATAATTATCTTTATCGGCCTTAGTCGGTGAATGGCCAATGAGCGGTTAAGAAACGAATAAATGTCATAGAAGTAATTTTTTAATTGGTCCCAGACAACGGTTGCAAATTTCACATTATTGTGATCTGAAATGTGTGTCTAAAACGAAATGTAACTGTCAAATTAAAGTCAATATGGTTGTTGATTGATGTCAGAAATACTTTTTTCTTGCTTTTGAAATCGACTTTTTGGAATAACTATGATCTTTTTAAAATGGATATTAAATATTTAAGAAAATTGTTAATGGAATATCCAGATGTAGCCAGGTTAGTATAAAATATAAAGATCTGTTTACATTTTTAAGGATATATTTGTTATAGGTATAAAAAGTAAAAGTTAATCAGTGAATGACAAGTGGATCACACAGTAACTGGTATCTCTTCTATGATTAATGTGGATATTATGGCTTATTTAGTGTTAACCCATGGTTAATGCGCTAGAGGGCAAATAAAGGCATTCAAAAGTTTACAGGCCTATGAGTCAGAATTTGTTTTGAAAACTAGAACCAACATTTTCATAACACTACATGTCAACATAAATTTTTTAAAGTGAACTATTCATACATACCTATGTATTAATTTTAGGTATTTTTAAAACATTTTTTGTGAAAGTAATGTTAACTCATTGTGTCAAATTAAGATTATCCCTAAAGTAGTAGATGGTGTTTTAAATGTTATAACAATTTTGTAAATAGTTTTATTCTATTCTAATAAATAAAATTTGCTTGAATATTTAGTTACATTTTAATCATTTTGGTTAGAAATTCATCAATTTTTAGTTTTAAAAAATCAGTAATAAAATTACTTTTTTTTTCTAAAATACTTCGCAATTCATCTCTTCATGGTAATCTCCCATCTGTGTACCTTCAAAAACCAATAATGCATTTTCTACAAAACCTTCAGAATCAGCATGTAAAATAATAAGGTGTCTTCCCTTTCTTGTAAGGCTTTTCAGGAATTGCTACCTTTAATAGTACTCAGTGTAGAAGGATCCATAATTGTAGATTTTCAATACAATTGCTTACTGAAGAACTATTATTTACAAAATAAAGTAAAAACTAAGTAATGGATGAGATATCAAATTATAAAATGTCAGAACTGTCAACAATATCAATTATTAGCTGATGTTCATGCTAAAAAGTAATGTGTAAAACTGACTGTAATCTGACCAATCAGAAGGCTACAGAATTGCCAACTTAAATTCATATCGCTCCTCTTAGTTTAGAAACAGAGTATAATAGTTCATTAACAGACGAACTATGATGTACTCCTCTAGTTTCACTTTTTGCACTAGTTGCATAAATAACTATTATTTAAATTGTAATAAAAATCTTAAATTACAAAATTGTGTTGCTATTTTTATTTACTTCCCACTGAATGTTTTGCAAGTCTAAAGTCGAAAAATATATGTAATGTTATTTTAGTTTAGTTATTTAGGTAATATACAAATGTTTAAATCATTAAAATTTAACTTTTTAATCCAATAAATGTTTTTTGTTGGGAAACTGCTTTAATTCTTATTTAAATAAGAGCCTACGCCACTGGTATATCGATCTGGAGCAACGGAGAAGAAATATTTTAAAGTGAGGCAGACGATGACTAGTTGATGACGCTCGTGGCTTTTTCTACGTTGAATCGTACTCTACCTATTATTTTTCATTGTTTTTTTTTGTTTCCGTACGTTAAGTATATATTAAAAATGTTATTATTTGTGTTTATTCTTTGTTTACCTTCTAATTTGGGTCGAAAAAAAAGTTTATTTTTCGTTTCTTATATATTGTTTTTTATTTACTACACTGCAAAATTTAATTATTTCCCCCTGTATTAAAATCTACTGTTCAGATCTACGTTTTTTTTTCACCCATACTGTTCCAATATCTGGCAACACTGCCTAGATTGAAAGAAATTTTCAACCTATTCACCTCCAAGCGATGAAGCGATGCTCGAGGACACTGACCTCGAGTGCGACAGGCAGCAAACCTTTGCCCCGAGTCAGATTCAGAAGTGTCGTCTGACGACACTTCTCGTGTCGCGCCGTGCGAAATGTGTTTCATATAATTGTATATATTTTAGATGTGAAGCGACACTTCTCGGTCGCGTCGGCGGTCGTACGTCGCGCCTACCGAAATGGTACCTTAACCCTCCGCCGCTTAACAATATTTACGTAACAACTAGAATAGTGGATGTATTTACTTGGCAACAACGTATATTGTTGCATCTCCGTAATATCTATATCAAGCGTTGCCCTCTTTTGCTTCACGTACCAGCTCTAATAAGCATTATTTGTAGTTACAGACAATTATAATGTTTAGCGCTAGTTTTCGACAATTTTTCTTTACTTTTGTAAGGTAACATAAATCTTAAAAGGCTTTAATACTGAGATGACTAAATTTCCTCACCTGCACTGTATCCAATAAAGTCATGGGCAACGCCTCATCCAAAGTACCAATATCTTTAGAAAAACGATTCAAAATTCTTCCAGATGGATTTAAATTAAAGAATCTCATTGGACTGTAGACGATGTTGGCGAACATCTTGTTGTGCAGTGTTGTAGAAGCCGTTAAGCACCATGAATAGATGGCCAAAGATCTGATAACTACTATGATTACAACAAGAATCACAGTTGCGGAAAAATAATGAGCGACATAATCGCTGGTAAAAACTGGAGTCAACCACCAGTCTCCGAAAGGGTCATCTTGTTGAATTGGGGGGGATAGAGTGGTTGTTAAATTAAGCAATGATAAACTTGTTTCTGTAGTATTGAATTCTAAAAAATTTGTATTATTCGCAGCATTTTGTGACTTCCATTGCTGGATATTTACCCTGAAAATAAAAAAGTTTGTTTACCAATGTAAATATGCCAATTAATTGTGAACTTACCAAAACGTGACGAAATATTCCGACACACTATCCAAAACTTGACTGAGAACAAAAGCAAAAATCAGAAGAAAAACTTTAATAAGATTTCCAGCGGCTCTGGCATAGCTCAAATACACACGACCCGATATATTTCCGGTACCTTTATCTTCTCTTTGCAATACCTGGATATCATCAACTTCTTCCTCTTCTGCTTTAACTACAGCGATCCTGGACTTCCGTCTAACTTCCTCCTCCTCTTCTTCGATGTTAGCGAGCAGTTTGCTGTATTCATTATTGGAGTTTCTGATATCTTCATAAGATCCCGATATTTCGATTCTACCGTCTTTCATTAGAAATATTTTTTTAATTTTTTTCAGATACTGCAGTTGGTGGGTAACCAGTATGACACATTTTTTGTTGAGATAACTCGTTATGCATTTCTCAAATAGCTGTTTTCCTACATGAGTGTCTACAGCTGATAGAGGATCGTCTAGAAGGTAAATATCTGCTTCCTTATAGACTGCTCTTGCCAAGTTGATTCTAGCTCGTTGACCACCGCTTAGAGATACGCCTCTTTCTCCTACTAAGGTTCTATCCCCGTGAGGGAATAGGGTGAAATCCCTTTGAAGTGCACACACTCTAATTACTTCGTCATATTTTTTTTGTTCAAATTCCTGTCCAAATAGGATATTTTGTCTGACGCTTCCTCCAAACAACCACGGTTCTTGAGATGCGTAAGATACCAAACCTTTAACCTCAACAGAACCACTTTGGAGATTCAATTCTTTCATAATAACGTGCAACAGAGTGGATTTTCCGCTACCTACAGGTCCTACTACAGCAACACAATTGCCAGCTTTAATATCCAAATTAATATCGTCTAAACAATTGTCTGGTAGCGATTTTAACCATTTGGCGGAGGCATTTTTGATTCTAATGTAGGCTTCGGCTCCTTTAAGTAAAGGCTCTGATGTTGGTTTGAGCCCGTTAACCACCAAGCTGTTTCTAATAGTGTCTTTCTCCAACTCAATTTCATCAAATAGTAAGAAGGTTTTTATTCTTTTTATAGAGATGATCAGTTCCGATCCTTGAGAAATGGCTTGCGGGAAGAACATCGTTAATGTATAGAGCAATTTGTAATATGATGTTACTGTATACGCGTAGGCGGCTGTGAGTGGGTTGCCGGTAAATGCATAAACTACTATGGAAATGGCGATAGCTGAACGGTTCATCATTAGTGCCATTGACATTAAGATAGCTCTGATTCTTGAAGTTAGACGAATGTACTTCATTTCTTTCCTGAAAACCAAAATACTACATTGCAGAGAACTCCAAACTTAACTTTTCAAATCAATATTCCGACAAATGTAATGTTGCCATACAGCTAAGAGTAATTGTATTAAATAAATATTTCAGGTATACTAGAACAATTTTTAAATGATGGTGATTCATCTTGCGAATTGTACTGTGGTCAGTAGTATGTAAAGTGCCACTCCTGTCTCAAGTTGGATCTCAAATCGAACACATACAGTTTTAGTATATAAAAGCGCAAATTGCAGAAATGCTGGTGTCGAAACAATATGCACGAAGGTTGAGACGGTAGTCAAAGAAATATCAACGTGTTAACAGTGCACGAAATTGAGTAGAAAATGCAAGTTCAAAGAATATTGATAATGAAGATGAGGAATTTGATATGAAATCAAGACCCTCCCAATTCTTGATAAATTGTTTAAACATCATTGGTTTGTGCATCTTGCTATAACATTGAAAGAGTGTTTAAATATGTCTTATCCAGTTGAGTTAATTCCAAACAATATACAAAAAATATGAATACTTTCTAAACCTATTTTAAATCTTTTATACTTAAGCAACAATTATCAAAAATATGATCAACATGTTATTTTACTCTTATATGAAAATCATATAGTTGGAATTAAGAAACTCAACAGTCTATTAAGTGGACAAATTCATAAAAGACAACATCTTTTATAATAACAACGCACGACTTAAAAAATGAAAATGAGGTTTTTCGGATTTTATCGAATATCTCCGGAAACAGTCAGAAAATCTGGGACTTTCATGGACCATTGTATTATCCGTCAAAATACGAAACTTTTTCCCCGTTTCACCGACAATGTATATCTTACGGTTTACGAGATCTGTGTATACGCAAATTAAATGTTACGCAACATTCAATACGAAAGAAAAATTTGATGAACATATCCAAATTTGTATTCATCAAAAGACTACAGTAGAAATGCCTAAAGAAAAAAATAAACAACGAAAATATAAATCTAACGGTGCAGAACAGTTTCATCCCTACACAATAACTCTCGATTTTGAGTGTACATTAGAGAAAATAAATAATTCAATAACAGATTCAACGAAATACATTCATGAACATATTCCATGTAGTTTCTGCTTTCATACAATTGATGGAACAAAAGTAATTAGAAGTAGTAATAAACACTAATGAAAAAATTTAATGAGAAACTTATTTATTATGGAAAACGTTATAATGAAATTAGAAGACAAGAATATGGAAGGAAGTGGGATGAGGATGTAGAAGTAGAATTTAATAATGCAGAAAAGTGTCATATTTGTAATAAAGTTTTCGAGAATGAGGGTCAAAAAGTCATAGATCACAACCATGTTTCAGGAGAATACAGAGGAGCAGCTTGTAACGGTTGTAATTTAAATTTACAATTACCAAAATTTATTGAAATTCACAACCTTAGATATGACTCAATGATATTTTTAAGGTGGATTCTTGAATTAAGTGAAAATTATTCAGATATCAATATAATTCCTAACTCTAAAGAAAACTACACATTCTCAAAGAAAGTAATTATTGATCAATATGAACAAGGCTATGACTGTTCTCGATGTACAAAATTCAATAAAAAACCAATATACAAAATTATCGAAAAATGTGATACCTGTGGAAATAAAATGATTATCAAACGGAAAGGGGAAATTCAAAATGTAAAAATGGAATTCAAATTTATAGACACATTTAGATTTATAAGTACAAGTCTTGACAGAGCAGTGAACAATTTAGCTGATGTTAATAATTGTTATTGTTCTAAATGTAATTCTAAACAAGAAATAATAAATATTAAATGTCTACCCATTAATGAAAATAATGTTTTAAAATTAATCTCCAACTGTAAAAAATGTGATAAAGTAAGCAAACCAGTTGAATACACTAAATTCAGAAATATCATAAAATAATTTAATAAGGAGGATCCATATGGTTTTAAGAAAAGGTGTTTATCCATACGAGTGGGTTGATGATTATCAAAAATTCTATGATGAACTTCCATTAAATAAACTAGACTGGTATTCAACTTTAAATGATAAACATATAAAGAATGCATACGTTAACTTTGCTAAGAAGTTTATAATCATTTTGAATGTAAACATTTTGGTGATTATCATGATCTATATTTATAGTTAGATACGGTTTTATTAAAAGATTCAAACACATTTTTTAATAAAACTTTAGAGAAACATATAAGAATTATAAGAATTATAAATTAGATCCTGTTTACTATATTTCAGCTCCCAATTTAGCAGATTCAGCATCATTAAAAGAAGCAGATCAAACAAAAATATACGGAACATATGAACGTGGAATCAGAGGTGAAATATCAATGATTCCAAATAGATATGCTATAGCAAATAATTGCTATTTCTATGACGAAAAACAGGGTAAGACAATCAAACTAAGTAAAATAAAAGCTGAGGAAAAAGGAATATATAATAGTAAAAAACATATTAGTTATATCATGTATTTAGACGCAAATAATTACCAATCGGAAAATTTGTTAGATATAATGAGAGAAAAGATGAGATAAAAACTAATCCAGAACTCAAAAACTTAAAAATGAAACTTAGCGACTATACTTCAGAGAAGATTTTAAAGTTAAAAGATAATGATAAATATAGATATACATTTATTGTAGATTTAGAGGTTCCCAAAGAACTACATGATAAATTTAAAGACTATCCATTACTTTCAGAATATTACTGATTAGGATGAATTATCAACATATCAAAAAGAAATGATTAATAATAATATTGGAACGAAACCTAAAAAAGCAAAATTAATAAATACTCTAAAATTAAAGAAATATTATGTTATCGAATTCAGAATATTAAAAGAATGTTAAAAATTTCGGTAAATTTGACCAGAAGGCGTGGCTTAAACCCTACATAGAAAAAATACAGAATTAAGAAAAGAAGCTTAAATTGATTTTGAAAAAGATTTCTATAAACTAATAAATAATGCTTTGTACGGAAAGCAAATGGAAAATGTAAGATCAAGATGTGATGTGAACTTGGTCAGAACAGTAACTAGTTTTGAGTAACCATAAAGAATGCGAAACCAGAACAACAATTGATGAAAACAATGTTCTTTAATTTCTACAAAAAATTAAAATAAAACCTAATAAACCAGTCTATGGTGGTTTTGTTGTATTAAAACAATCAAAATTTTATTACAACTACTTATTGAGTTGATAGAAACAAATACAGATTTTTTAATTATTTATGTTGAAACTGATGACGTTTATGATGACATGAAAGAAAATTTAAAATATTTCGATACATCAGATTATTTAATAGATTGGATGCCTAAAAAAAGGAAAGTTTCAGGCTTATTTAAAGATGAATACTTAGGAATTCCAATAGGAGAATGGGTTGGTTTAAGATCGAACATGTATGCGTTTAGAAATGATATAAAAAAGATATGTAAAGGTATAAAAAAAATGTAATATCCAGAAAATGAAATTTGACGTGTATAAGAATTGTTTGTTAGATACTAAAATAACACATTTCTATAAAATCAATACATTCTCATATGGATATTATAACTTAGATAATTGTAGCTCATCTTCATAAATACCTTTTTCAATATCATTAACTTTGTAATAATTAACATTAGATTTCAATATCTTAATAATCAAAAATATTTTAGTTGTCTAATTTGTTTTTAATTTATTTCAAAATTGATCTACGTAAGATGAGAGTCTAACTCGATCACCTATTTCAAATTTATATTTCAAAGGAGAAATTTTATAATTATAAACAGTTGTTAACAACTGAGTTTCATTTTTTTTATTCTATAATATGTATTATTATAATTCTTAACAATATATTTTTATATAAAATTGGTTTTAATTTATCTCTTAAAGTTTTATTAAATCTTTCAATTATGGACGCCTCATTTTCAGTACCTGTGCTATATATTTTATTATTGTATTTATTCAAAACATTTATAAGATTCTTATTATAGAACTCCGTACCTTTATCAACGTGTAACAATTTTGGTCTCCTCTCATTAAATATATTTTCAAAAGCATTAGCAACCTCAATCCCAGTTTTTGTTTTTATAGGTTTTTAAAAACGTATCAATCACGTTTAAAAGTTATTGTTAATTGTGATATACAACCGAAAAGGATTTTATTGTGAAATAAATATAGCAAATTGATTTGACTAAAATGTCCTCCCCCGATGAGAGTGTTGGAGTTGATTGGAGAAAGCAACGAGAAGGACCCAACACATTTTATCGATAATTGTTACGCCGCTGCGTAGGAAGGATTATAGGTAATTCTAGAAATACATTGTTGCCGGTCGAACATAATTCTTCGATGAGTCATCATGATTTAAAAATTGTAATAGTATAGTAGGTAATCTTACATTCTGACGAATTCTACAAGTTTAGCAAACGGGTATTCCCACGTATACATTTTGATTACTTGAATTCCAGATATCACTTCGTTCATCAGTCTTACTCTTTCATCGGTTCTTTCAGCTACTCGAAGCCTGTATTTTGACGTTTTTTGACCCAGCCAAGCTAAAAATATTTAAAATTTTAAAATTGTTAGTAGATTTCATTAAGAGCGATATCCATGCGACACCCAACAGCAAATTCAGGTTTAGAACACACTGACAACTTTCAGTGCATCTGAACGCACTTTGGCAACGTTGCTCTATTCCCAGACTTACGCTCCCTTCAATTCATTACTTATATCGTTGTATAAAGAAATATAGTAGGGTAACCTTATGGACTTATCATTGGAGGACGATGGACATAGAATGTAGATGGCGATACTGTACTTATGTCCAAGTCAGGTCTTTAGGTCATGTCTGTGCTTGAGTATGAATTATAATTTAAAATCTTCTTTTTCATTTCTACTTGTCTTCGGTAATGTATTTTTATAGTTACAATTTACTATTTCAAATTATTACAAAAGCACAGAATACAGGGTATTTGAAGGTCACATAAAATGCGAAAATAATCGATATAATAAAATAAACCAGTTTTTGCTTGAAAAAGATTGAATTAGTTGAGATTGGGTGGAATTTTACTATAATAGGGAACATTTTTTTCTATATTGTGGTTGGATTTTGGATATATCGCTGATGGTTAATTAAACTTGAGTTGTACGCTGTTAATTTATATTCACTTTTATTTAATGGTATCATCAAATTAAGAATAGGACATGAACAACTGAATATTATTGTTCAAAATGAGACGAATAGACGAAAATAAAAAATGTTTGGATAAAATGTTCTGAAATACAGGATGTTAAGTTGAAAATTAAAAAAGTAATAATGGGTAAATATATAGGTAGTTATAATTTTATTCAATATAATTTTACTAAAATCGGCACTGACAAAATTTAACTAACAGATTTTTTTGCTGTTAGGTAAACTTATAACATACCAAACACGTTTAGTGAAATTATACTAAGTAATAAAAACATGTAAGCCACTAATTTTCAGTTTTCAACTTTTGACACCATTTGAAAACGAATCGAGTACCAATTTATGGTAGGCACATTTAGGAGTATTATTTTCGAAAGGCAAAATTAAAAATTTTTCATTGTTTTTTTTTTGTACATGGAAATACTTTGCTGCATGTCTGCTGCATGTCCTACAATGATGAAGCTTTCAACGAAGGCGTCTTAAAAAATAAATTATAGAAAATGCGAATGTTACATATTTGATTAGATAATTAACATTGACATAAACTTTCATTGCTCAGGACGTTAAGTGCTCAACTTTGGGTTTCGTAAAGATCAGTTACTGACTACTACTATTTTTTTCTGAACTGTTATCAAAATACTACAAAATTTAGCAGAAAGATTGCATTAATTATATTTTTCATATTTTTTCCAAAATAAGAAAGAATGTTTTTATATGTAATTGAATCTGGGTTGGGAAATCCAGACTTGAATGCTTAACGACTTAAGTCTTGAAGGCACTTATATCAAGTTAATTATCTAATCAAATATGTGACGTGGCTTTTTAAAATACCATCATTGTGCGCTCCACTGCGTGTCCATCTTCTACAAGAGAAAAAAGGAGGAAACATTTGTAAAGTTGCCTTGTACAAATGTGTACCAAAAGAGGGCAACTGGCTCTCGTAAGCCTTTTTCGTTTAATCGTCTCATTATTTTAACACTAAGCGCCAGCATGGGAAATATATGTAAAGTTAGTTTTAAGAACTTTTAACATTCAAATAAACAAAAACAATTTATAAATCTATTATTAAAATCCGTGTTGGAACAAAACATAAAATTGTTGAATTTGAAAGATAATATTCTAAAAATGGAAAGGATTTCAGTCGAGAGCCTATTGGACTGAATATTCAGTTTAAAATCGCTTTTCCGGCCTATAAATCTTCAATTGTGTCAAAACGAATAAAATAAAGTAGTTCTGTCTAAAACTAAAATAAATTTGCTATCTCGAAGTCCCCATCGATTATTTCCAAACTTTTCTTTAACGTCTTAGTTGTAAGTTTTTTTATTACATTTTCTTTAATTTGCTATTTCTGTGGAATCATTAATTTTCACTTGCATTATTGTTCTTCTAAAAAAGCGAAATGTGACTCACGTTTTGCTTGATTGGCTTTAATTTTTGAGATAGTCAACCAGTCAAAATAAAAAAAATTCAAAAAATAATAAGACATTAATTTATTTATTTAATCAGTTTTGTCTGAGCTAACAGAAAGGCTGTATTCTATAAACAATGAAAAAGAGTGATTGTTGTTTTGAACTACTTAAAACATTTTCACTCGAACGGCGTGCGTGATTCAATTTAAAAATACTTTCCAGAATAAAACCACGTGTTACAGTTTTGACTTCATTTATTACTAAACAGCCAAGTCATACAAAAACGTTAATCCAAAATCTAAATTAAAAGTAATAACAAATAGCCTATCTACTAGGGTCAGTAACCAAACATATAAATAGAATGGGCGGATTTTGTTCATACTTAACATTATACTCGCGCACTGACACTTAACCTGGATTAAATATAACTGTAAATACAAATATTTTACAAACAAATATACTTTTCCAAACAGTGATAAATTATATAAAAAAAATGTTTTTTTATAAGATTTTCTTTTATGTTCAAAGTTAGGACTTTATAATTATTGTGTCGTTCATAGAATTCTGTACTAAATAAGAGCACTGATTTTGGAAATAAATTTTAACCATTTTGGCAAGTTGCTGAACCTTGTAACATTGCATAATGAAATATAAAGACTAACTGAATATGTCTGCCACAGATAGACCACTTGTAGGTCTATTGATTTCGTCTTGAGCTATTCCTAAAAAGTGGAGCTATTGAAAACTTCCTTTCAAGGTGATTTATTTCAACACTCAGAGCCAGCCGAGAGAACATTTTTTTCTTATATTCATGATCAACAGCCAAGATACATTTAAAAGTCGCTAATATATCCCTGTGACTATTTTTTTTTAATTTGTTTTCCAGTGTTGATTGATTTTTCCCTGATTAGTGTGATTTTCTTGTTCCTTAACTCAATATCTTGCAAACTGTTGATAGCTTTGATGAAATTTTGTAGCAAAGCTTGTTCAAATTTTGAAAACTAAAAATATTCAGCTATTTTTATGGTTATAAACTTTTCCAACACTTAGTCCAATTAGAGGTACTTAGATTACATGCAACATTTTCAGAAGCTTATTCCTTTTTTGTTTTCTGCTTGGAACTTTTCAATTTATTTAAAACATTGGACATTGTTATAAGTTGTTATTAGGTATTCTTTGTTATTGTTTATATATTTTGACATAACCGCACATAACCAAAATATTGACCAAAGTCCTTAACCACTTTTTATCAACTTAATCCAAAAATTTTATTCGTACGGTTTTGTCAACTGGAATAAATTTTCATTATTATGTTTAATTTTTCATGTCTTTTATCATAAATTGTTATTTTTAAATAAATAAAGATGTTTTTAACTATAATAGGTAGGTGATAGAGGCCATGTGCCTGAACGAAAAGAAGACGTAGATGGCGTATCTGCATAGCATTAAAAATTGACTACTTCATTAAATCATCACTAGATGCCGCTCGAGATTGCATCCAACACTTTTTACTGTTGCATTATCCTACTATATTATCTTCATACAACGCTTATATGATTTAAAATATAAAAAAAGGCCGATAAATCGCAGGTCCGGTCTAACAAAGAGTATTTCTGTTTTGTTTTCTCGTTTAAAATATTTTTTTATAGGTATAACCTGGTGTAACATTATCGAAACTCTTTTTTTCTAACTAAATAATTTATTTACGATATATATTTTTAAATAAACACATGTATTTCCTATGATTATTTTGAAAACATATCTAAAAAGTACCTATTTCTACATTTTCTTATATACAGGGTGTTTGTTGGTAAGTGTGAATGATTTTAGGGAATGTTTGCCGAAGTTATTATATATAAAAAAAACATAGATCCAAAAAGTCAGTGGCGCAGTATTTTTTTATTAAAAAAAGTGACATTCTCGCACAAACGCCACTGGTGCAAGTAAAAATATTTGGAACACCCCAAAAAATACACATTTGTCCCTTCAAAGTTTTTTTGCAAATTTCGAGTAAATATCTTTAAAACTATTTGAAATAATTAATAAAATTTAATAAATTAAAATTTAAACATTCTGTATCCCGGAAACGAAGCATATTTCGACCTACTTCTATAGGAACTTTTTTTAACAAAATAACTTTGATAACAATTTGCAAAAATCTTTCGTACTTATTTACAAATACCCTGTATAAAAATACGTTTTTTAAATAATAATCCATTTAATACTAGTTTGTGCAACAACAGTGGACAAACTGGAGTTGTACAGTATGTTTTTTTCTACGACCCACTAAACGAAAATCTACAAATTTAAAGTATTATTTTAGGAAAAGACAAAATAGCTAATTTTAATAGTTATTTATGCAACAAGTGCAAAAAGTAAGTGTTTATTGCACGCGACGTGAAATTGTCGAGTACAAAAAACACTTTTTGCACGAGTTGCATACAATATTTTTTCTACGTTCATGCAAAAACCAAAGAATGTTTTATAGAACTGCAGTTGTATTATCCAAATCATAGTAGCTATGATCGTGTACCTTTGAGGCATTTATTTACGTTTGTGTTCATAATTTGTAATGACATTTTTAATAAAATACATTTTTTTATTAATTTATTTATTAAATGATTGAAAATAATATAAAATATGCAATTGTTTTTAAAACGTAACACAGAAAATAAAAATGGACTAAATATTTGGCATTGATTTGAATATTTATGTTTGTCATCATCATAAAACGCTGTAGTAAAATGACAGATGAGTGCAATAAAATTTTTATTGCACTAGTGCAATAAAGAACCAGTTTTTTCACTAAATATAGTTCAATAAAGTTTTGTTTTTTGCATGAACGTAGAAAAAATAATTTATGACTTTACTAATTTGTGAAATAAAATAAACTTGAAAAAATATTTCTTTTAATTAGTCCCCAGCCCAGATTTGAACTCGGGCCTCTCGCGTGAAAGACATATGCCGTATCCTCATTTTCACCTCTGCATTTGGAATTTTAGTTCTAATAGTAATTAAATTAGTTTCATATAGGTAGTTTGATTCAAATTTAAGATTTTTTAAAATGTGGTCCAAATAAATATAAATTAAAATTATTTATGGATTCTACACAAAAATAACTCATTTTAAATATTTTAATGTATATTTAATCTCAATACCTAAAAAATATACTGACAATTAGTTTGACAGAATTGTCACTTATTTAAAATTTTTAAAATAATAGTAGTTGGGTGTCTAATAAACTGTGATTGGTGGATTTCATTTTTTTTGCAGTGTTCTCACTACCTAAAATGGATATGAAATATATTCGTTGAGTTGAACGCAATAGTATTTCAGACGTACTAATTAATTTATATAATACTTAGACACTGACTAACAATTCTAATTTATTTATTACACTTTAACTTTTCATTCCAATACTCTGTACTAAACTAAACTGCCCGACGATGAGTCGGACTATTTATATTAAGTCCAACTCTGCTACTAGAAGTCTCTAGACGGTCCCGAAAATTCCATCTCTGACTCAACGGCACACTCTGTCCGTTCTACCCGTTTCTCGAGCCTCAGCGGCATTCCCAGAACATTCCGTCGCCTCGAGCATGAGTCGGGGCCAGCTGAAGGTCGCACCTGCTTTAGACACAGGGTCGGATTAGTAATTTCATGACAGTATATTGAATCTCAATAATTCAAAAATATACTGACAGTTAGTTTGACAGAATTGTTACTTACATAAAATTGAAAAAATAATAGTAACCGGGTGATCAAAATATAAACTGATTGGTGGATTTAACTGTTTTGCAGTGTTCTTACTGGGTAGAATGGATATGAAATATATTCGTTCAGTTGAACGTAATGGAATACTTTTTGTTTTGTAGTATGTGCGTAGATTAGCTAATAACTATGTGGGTATAGGAAAAATCATATCCATGTGGGTGTAAAAAATAGTAGTTTGTGTAACAAGAGTGAATATAAATTAAATGGATTTCATATTAAAATTTATATTTATTTATTTCTAAATATAGATCAAATAAAAATAGAAATGCTATTATTTATCGATTCTACACAAGTATAACTCATTTTACGCAATAGCATATTTCTTCGTTTTGTAGTCTGTACGTAGATAAGCTGATATCCATTTGGGTGTAGAAAAAATTGTTTTCTAGTACTAAAAATATATAAAAATAACATTGAGTAAAATGATTTATTATTAGTAAAAGAAGAAATTAAAATAAATCATCTTTATTGACTATTGGTCGGATTTCTACTCGGATTTCTACTCGGTTTTCTACTGGGATTTCTAAAATCCAAACCTCTAGCGAAACGTGTAGTATACAATCTAAATAAAATTGCTTTAGTTTGCTTTCCATATACACCAAAATCTTTCATCTTTTTTTATTTTTTCTACAAACATACCTAAAGGTATCAAAATAATAAAAAAACAAATATTTGGTTTAGTGAAGTTGCCCCTGAACCTGGTAATAATAACAATTATGATTTCGGTTTAATTGCATTTTGCCATTATCATTAATAATTGCAAATTTTATTATGTTGCAAACCATTGATTTTTCCGTAGTCAGTTTTGAAGCAAGATATTTAATTTCGATAATATTGTCGGTTCCTAATAAACCGTCGGGACCTAAAAAACCAAATTCAGAATCCTCAAATAAACCACATTTATTGGACATCCGCTTTAAATTTGTGAATATTGCTTTAAAGCTAAAGGTTATTTTTCTGTTCCATACTATATTAATTTCCCATATATTTTGACGTTTATGCTTAGACGGGCAGGAACTGACCTGGACTGGAATAAGAGGTGATAGTGTGTGTCTTTTTCTAAGTAATCTTGCACGATATTTTATAGATTTCCGTCGAAATGGAAATATCATTTTCGGCATTTCCGAAAGTTTTCCGATTTTTACGACAAACTATTATAACTCAGCTTACACACAAAAGTTCATATAAACACATTAACTAAATACGAAACGAAAACACCGTCACTTGAACTAAAAAGAGTAAAGTTTTTTTAATAATTTCATCCTAAGCGACTTAAATGACTATCTAAATACTTTTATCCTAATTTTCCGGTACTGCATGCACCGCCAACGTCCGCCGCCTTGTTGCCAAATCAGATTTTGTAATTCAAGGTTTTCAAAAAATATGCGCATTAGACAAAAAAGTGCATTGGAAAGAATTAGCTAATTTTTATATAACAATTCCCGGTAAAGACTCCTTTTTGCAATAATTTTCATAATTTGTATAGAAAAAATTAAAAAATTAGTTTTTCTGAATTCGGGCTCTACAGCGGGGTTCTCTATCATTTGCTTAGTAGGTATACCAAATTTTATAAAAAAATATTTAAAACTGAGAAAGAGAACCTTGAAGTCGTTTTAAGCCAGTTTCTAACCATGGATATCGCTCAACATTTTTAATTATGTTACTAAATTATTGTTGTAAAACAATTAATATTTCATAAAAAGATAATTCAAGGTATACTTTTTATTTGTTTGTAAAATAAATAGTAAGATAAGTATATTCAATCCTCTATTTTTAACAGCAAAAAGTAAATACTTACATTGCAATGGAATAGATAGTAGCAAAAAAACAGCTCCAGATAACGAAGCCAAACCAATATTGACATACAACAAATACATAACCACCAGCGTTTGTATAGGCGCCAAGTAATAGAAATGAAGATGATGAGTGGCTGTATCAAATCTACCAACATCATTCGACAACAAATTAACCATCTGACCGATAGTAGTTTCAGCCAACGCAGATTTGCTCAGCTTCAATGATTTTCTATAGATCAAGGAACAAGAGCTTATTCTCATCTTCATGCCTACTTGCATTATGGACATGATGAACGAGTGGTTCATGAGGACGCAGAGCAATTGGGAAAAAACGATGAGGCTGGAATATATGTAGATCTCATTTGCTCCTCCTGATGTATCCCCTTCGTAGACTAAGAGGAGTTTTGATATTAAAAATGGTTGGACCATCCTGTAAGGATAATAATAAAGTTAATTTTATATAAAATGGCCGACAGAATTTTGGTATTTTATCAAATCAAATTTAGTGATTTTATCTTTGGTACTACCTTCATTTTAAAAACTGTTACTGAATCTGTTAAGAGATATATTCGATTTGTTAATACTGTAGTGAATTAAATACCCTATATGTTCTCATCTGATGTCTTTATCTCATCACATTTCTCTTTCGTTCAGATAACCTTCATTTCCGTGGCAGCTCTAGTAAAAGATAAAGATTAAACTCGTCTTGTTTCAAGACTATTTGACAACTAACGTTTCCAGGAGTCTAGTTATTTAATAAAGATTTTTATATTTTTATATATATGATCCTATTAAGCGTCAACTAATGTTAAAATCGCGTCTCACTCGGCGTTTGAGGCCATTGAGCTTCCTATATACGGAAGCCCATTGGATTAGCCTTACAAATAATCAAAAATGATTCTAGTTTGGCTAGCGTATAAGATTTAGTTTGCCAAATGAACACGTTACGGTCGCTTTATGTATACTTTTAGAATATATACAATTTTCTAATAGTCGCTTACTCGGCTTCCATACTTTTGGCAACAGTGTTTGTCTACAACGAATTACGCAACTGTAATCTAGAATTTAGGAATTTCAGGATGTTTCTTTTATTACACAGTCAGTTTATTTCAGACCGTTCACTCCAATACTGACAGTTCGTTATTACTACTAATGTCATTAGTTTTGCAATATTAGATTTAAAAAACATCAAACCAGATTTTTAATGTAAGAAATGTTTCAAGTGTTACTCAGGAAATGCTTAGAATTGAATATTTTGACAACCACCTTCAGATCTTCATAATTAGAAAGGCTACTTAAAGAACCATTTCCAATTAAATAAAATCTGTCAAAATAACAATAAACAAAGTATTTGAAGTTTTTAGTTGTTCTTTTTATTTAATTTTTAAGGTATATATGTACAGGGTTGTTCCCAAGTTATGAATAAGGAAAGAAATCCAATAAAATTGATAATTAACCTGCAAAAGATCCATTAAATAAGGGTTATCTAAAATCACCTCAGTGGCCTCCATCCACAGCTAACACATGTCCGTTTCCCAATGAATCACCCTGTATAGGGTGTTCGAAAACTGTGTGTACATGGAGCTACTACATACTACTACCAAAGAGGTAGATACTGTTTACAAAAAATAATCATACCATATCAATACACGGTAAATTATTATCAGAAAAAATCACACATTGTATAGCAGACTACAGTTCATCAAATTTCTAGAGGCTTTCGACGGCTAGACAGAGAAAGCACTACTGACAGGCATCCCGACGGATTTACGCAATGAAAGTACACTCTGCGCATCAAGTATTTCACTATTTCATTCAGACGTAAATGTCAGATGTAAATTTCGCTAAAACATTTCTTTTATTTTCGTTTGTGTTTTTTGCTCATTACAGTTTAATAGAACCTAAGTATGGAGTTTAATAGCAAATTAAGAGGCCGCGTGATTAACAGTCAATCTCGCGAAATAATAGCCAATGTTATAGAGTTTATGAGAAGAGAAGGAAACTTTAATTCACCTTCAATACCATTTAAAAATATAAATGATCGTGTTGCTGCAGCCACAGGAGTATCTAAAAACACTGTCGTCCGCATTTCTGAAGAGAAAAAAAGAATCGATAACCGTGAGATATCGGAATTTTCATCACCAAGAAAAACCATTAAAAAACCAAAAACAGTTAATGATATAGATGAAGCTGCACAAGAATCAAATTTTATTTTTTTATTATTAGATAGCTATTTTTGTTTCTGAGTTGTGTTCATTTACAGGCTCAATTTTTTTCCGTTTCTCGTTTTTGATTTTATATGGGGTTTCAAGTTGTTTTTGACTTATTTCGACGTAAATCACAACAACACACTTTTTTAATAAAGCAAACAAGTGTTAAGAGGTATATGTACGTGTAAACTACAATTACAAAAAATTGATATGAAACCCATGAAACCACCAACAAAAATGTAAAGCTAGCTTCCGTACTAGAACATGGTGTCATTCGTCGAGATAATTTATCGTTTTGTTTAATAGATCAAGAAATGTAAATATTCCCCTGTTATTTTTTATAAAATTATAAGAGAAATAAATTTTTTTCTAAATAGTATAGTTTATTATTTTGTAGAAAAACAAAATTTCGAAAATTTTAGTAATGTTTCAGAAACAACCGTTATTAATAATAGGTACCATTTTCCTTAATAAGGTAGAAATAAAATATAAACTATTTCCACGATTTACAAAGGCCTACAAAAAAATTATAGGTATTTTCCGCTATCCTATAAAATTTATATTTTCTGACTCAATTTCAAAAGGTTGAAGGAATTCCAAAACACCTTTTATGGCATAATAATTATTTTCAATTCTACATACTATCTTTAGCTGCTTTTAAAAACGTTCTAAGAAAGTCCAATCAGACCAATTTAATCCCTAAACTATTCCACACTTTTAAAATTTAATTACCTAAAAATATTAAAAACTATTTAAAATAACTTGTTTAGCAGACTGTACAATAGCTATCTTAGTCACACGTAGCGCGTTCTCTGTCTGGGCGTCGAACACCTCTAGAAATTTGATGAACTGTACAATGATATAAATGTAATGATAGAACTGTGGAAATATTTTTAAAAAGCTAATCAGAAAATTGATGAAAATACAAAATATTTTGTGTATATTTCAAAAAAGATTTATAAAATTTTTATTTATATATACTTTTCTTTTACAGGTCAGTCTTCAGTGAGATGCAGTAATAAGGTAAGATAGATTTTGAGAAAATTATTAGGAGTATGTACAGAGGATTTGTAGAAAGTAATTGGATAAACATATTTGAATATATTATGATATTTTTAGAATGTTTAATAATTTGTTTAGACCAACTTTTTAGTAAGTGTATGCCTAACAATAATTCAACAAAATTTTTCAAATAATTATCGTGTTTGTTTGTTTGTTTACTATCTAAATTTTTAACCTCTACTCACAGCCTCATTTTGTGCAGGCGCGGATACAAAGGAGGGGTGGGGGAAAAGGGTAATTGCCCTTTTTCCCTAGATACTGAAATGTATTCAATTGCAACCTCAAATATGAAAAAAATATATAGAAACTCAAATATACAGATTGTTGTTTTAAGGATGAACGAATTTATATATTTTTTTGTAAAGACTGGTACAGTCTGTTCGCTATACCTACGTGGGTTTCGAATTAACAAAATTATGCAAATTAGTCATTGACAACCAGTTCCGATAAGCTATTTCCCAAGAAATTAGGTAAAATTGCCCTAATGGTCAGATTTAAATTAAAATAACATTAGGGTAGGTACTAAATTTGTTACAAATATTGCAGTTGAATCGATTCTTTGCAAGTGTTGACATTGTATATATATTGTAAATTTAGTGGAAATTTTAAAAATGCCTAGACGTGTGTTAGATGTAGATAGTCTAATTTGTAGTGAACGTAAGTATTTTACGGATGAAAATGAAAATGACAATCCTTTAAAATCGGTAATGTCTGTACAACAACGCGTATGCGATGCTCTAGGAATTAGTGAAACCAAATTAAGAGGAGTATTACAAAATCACAATAGTGAACTGCCGAAAAAATCACCACAAAACTCGCCCATCATTGAAAACGAAAGATATTCCAAATGGAAAGAAATTTGAAATTCGTGATACCATTTATCGAATGAGGGCCAACAAGGAACATGTGACCTTAAATACAATTCTCTCGGAATTAATAGATAGAAAATTTGACAACATTGGCAGAACAAGTCTATGGCAAGTGATACATAACTTGGGTTTCAAATTTCAAAAGAAGGATAACAGAAAGGCCCTTTGTGAAAGAAGTTCTGTCGTGTACAAAAGAATGAACTTTCTAAGAAAATATTCTAAATTTAAAGAAGAAGGGACGAATTTTATATATTTAGACGAAACATGGATATTTTCTAGGGGTGCAATCAAGAGACTATGGCAAGATGATAACGTAAAGTCGATCAAACATACCGATGGAGAAGGGAAGCGACACATAATTTTACATGCAGAAGGGAAATTGGGTCTTATAGAAGGTGCTGATTTAATATTTTCATCTAAATCAAAATCCAGTAACTATCACGATAATATGAACACAGAAATGTTTGTAAAACGGTTGCATGAAAAACTTCTCCCAGGTTTAAGTGAGTCTAGCGTAATTATTTTAGACAATGCACCTTACTATTCTGAAGTATTAAACAAAATTCCTGGACTGTTGATAAAATTAAAGAATTGTTGACAAAGGAACATATACCATTTCCTCAATATAAATTAAAATCAGAATTATTACGCTTGACAAATATACACGCAAAACTAAAAACCTTTGTTGTGGATCAGATTATTGAAAGTTACGGTCATCAAGTTTTACGTCTGCCACCGTATCATTGCCAGTTTAATCCCATCGAATATATATGGGGAATAGCAAAACAATATTATGACAACCATATTGGGCCTAATGGTTATAGTGACGACGCAGTTCGGGAAACTTGGCGAAAAGCACTTTCAATTGCAACTCCAGAAGTGTGGCGGAACTGTATATCCAAGTGCGAGAAGTTAATAGAAGATTGGTGGACTCGTGAAAATAAAATAAACGAAATAAGTCCAATCATAATAACAATTAATGGTGATGACAGTGATGTTGATGACGATTATGATATTTTGGATGATAATGACTGATTTTCATTTTTATTGACAAGTTCAATTTTTTTTATTTTTCATTTGAAATTCTCTACTTGGAACAAATTTTTGTTAGAAAATATTTTATTTGAGCTAAATAACCCTCTTATTATACATAGACCATATTTTCTGTGTGAAGTGTAATATAAAATTATTATTAGGTTTATAATAGCCACATAAGACTCCATTAATGAAGAAGTTTAATTCTGCTCTCAATTATACAAAATATTATCCATTATTATTTAATTAAAAAGTTGTATATTATTTTTTATTTCATTTAACCAGTTGATATTTCCCCAAAGAACAGGTCAAACTTTCGGGTACTTACCTGAAAATACTCATAAAATTTTTAATCCGAAACCCGCGTAAGTATAGCGAATAGACTGTAGCTTCCTGTTACACAACCTGTCATCTAATGTATTACAACTGATATAGTAACTACAGCTGCCATCAAATACAATAGAAGGTATACTGCAACCAGAGATAATACGCCTCTATTACCAAATGTGGTTACTGGACCTAGTGATTCTTCTTTAATGGGATACCACCAATACCAATTATATTATTACGGATAAAGTAACGCTGTTACAAGCACCAGGTCCCCGGAAATCCTTAAGGAGCTTTCTTTTATCCTCAACAAAAAATATAAAAGCAATAATAATAACAATAACTGCCATGTTGTATTTATTCCTCTACTTCTACAGTTCTTGTCGTAAGCGTTAGCTTTTGATACACATTTCTTGATTAAATTCTATCATTTTCTTCGTCTTTCAATATTTGTAAAAGTTTGGTGATTGGGGCTTGGCGATTGGGAAATCTCTCCCTAAAAATTCTTGCAGACAGCGTTCTGTATGCCGCATATAAAAATTATTATTGTTTAATTATTACAATCTTTCACAGTACTACTTTATATTGCATGATTAAGTACTTATATTGAGCCCATAAATCTGTAGTAGCTTCATGTACATGTGTATATTGTAAATAACGTACTATAATAAATAAACTTCAATGTTACTTACCTTACCGCTTCAACACTGATTGCTAGGATATTCAATAAAATAATTTCCCAAAAGAATGTTCCAACTAACACTTTTAAATAGGATGGTTTTTTGTTATTTTCTAGATGCTTCTTCCATCTTCTTTCCAGTTTATTTCCGAGGTCTATAGAATCATGAACCTTTCTATGCCAGTACATATCATCTTCGGTCAGTTCTCTTTTGTAACCCTTTACAAAGTAAGGAAGAAGCCAACTATAAAAAAAAACATCGATAGAAAATAGCAGATTATGTTTGCTGAATACTTTTTGGCCGTTATTAGTTTATTTTCTTTGTATTAAGAGTTCTGTTGTCATCTTATTCAGTTTATCTACAACTCCTATGTTTGAAACGTTTTTGGTTCTATAGTGGTACTATTAATAACATTTTTATTACTTTAACCCTTCAGATCTTTAAGACCATTATTTGAGCTCTTAATATTGAGAAAAAAAACTCTAAAAGCACTTTATAGAACTAAATAACATCACAATTAAAAAATAGTTTTCTTTTTTACACTTACCAAAATAGTAGATTTGACAAAGCATTCGATCTATCGCGCGGGTTAGTTTTTTTTCCAGAAACTTGGGTTCCAGCTTCCTCCATGTTGGTTTTTTCCTGCAAGTAATCAACAAAATTTAATTAATACTAAATAATTTTGTAGCTACCATGTAATTGATGTTAAATGGGATCTACTACTTCTAATATATCTCACTTATTTATAGAAATATTTAAAGGAGTCCTTAAATTTTGTTTTATTCTAAGATCAGCTTGATAGTAATATACTTTCGTTCTTAGTATTTTCCCCTTTCTTTGTAACACCACTGGCTAAAGCGAGAGTTACAGAAATGCAATTTAATTAAAAAAAATCCATAACAACCAAATATCTCTCACAATTGGGTTGCACCGATTGTACCTAATATGTATTTCTAATTTTGACTAGATTATTTATTAAATTGTATTAGGGTAAAATATTACTAATATCTAAGCAACCAATATTACTTTGTTGTAATTAGAAAAAGTATATTATATTGTCTCGAAATTAATACAGTACTTACCTCTACTACAAACTATATATTTCAGGTACCACACGCGTAAAAAGAATTGACTGTATTGACATATTACTTAAATAGGTGTAATATACCTTCAGTATTATCTAACATTCCTATATTATCATTTTGCAGTATCATCAATGTCAACAAAACTTATTCATACCAGGTGATTGTTAATTTCAATGTAGTAAATACATTTATGTACTTAAAATTGGTTAAATTTTTTTACATGGAAATCATTGTCATACTTATTTTTGAATTTAAATAAAACTAAATCAGCCAAGAAATACAGGGTGTCCTAATGATATGTGTTATTTTGCTATAAGTTTTGCTTCAGTGACACAAAAATTATATATTACCTATACAGGGTGTTTTTTTAAAAATATCCCCTTTTAAATTCACCGTAACCAAATTTTATCAAATGAAAACGGGCTACTTTTCATTGGGACACCCTGTATATAATATTTACTTGTAAAACATTAAAATAGAGCAAACATTGAATTCGACCAACATACTAATTTGCAACATTGTTCCAATTTTTCACAAGTAATCCCAGTAGCGCTTCATCACTTTGGTTGAAAGTGCAGTTTGATATAATTTATATAGACCAGTGGTCGCCAACCTCTCAATGTGTTGAGCTACTTTGTTAAATTTGGAATAAACAGCGAGCTACCCACACGGAAGCCACGTAACGTAAATAACGTAAATGAAATAATCCACAGTTAATTTATCATTATATGTATTTATTTTACTATTTAACTGGTAACACATAATACATAGGTACTAATAATAAACTAATAACAAAATAACTAATATTACTAGTACGTACTTGTTCATAGCTACATTCCTACCTACCAAACGAAGGTGTTTGAAAAATAAACACAAACTTTTCCAGCCACAACGGCATGTCACGTAAGATTAAAAATAGTTAATAATAACGTACTATCATGAACATAAACATTGAAAAATAAAAAAGCACGTTCAATGAGAAGGCTGACACTCAGACTCATCGATAATTTTTTAAATGTTTGCAGTATAATTTGATACAGCCATTCGAATACAATTATCCAAATGTTCATCTGTAAGTCGATTGCGATATTTGTTCTTAATAAACTTCATATTGGAAAAAGAAGATTCACACAAATAGGTTGAACTAAATAATGCTTTCACTTTCAAGGCAACATGGCGTAGAACTGAATATTTGTCTTTACCTACAATAGGCCAGATACATTTGGTACTTGAGACTAACGATTTTAAGGCTAAATCATTTTGAAACTCAATTACTTCCATTTCTGTTGCAGCGATGTCTTCGCCAAAGTTCTGCATAACACAAGTTGCAAACTGTTGGATATCAATTTCCATAAAGGGTGAAACAACAAACTGCGGTACTAAAGCCATTTCGTTGAAATCCTCAAAAAGATTTTTGAAGTTATTCTTCAGGGTAGAAACTATTTCTACATGATATTTGCTGTCATAGGGTTCTAATGGATTTTGAGATATTTTTTCTGAAAGAATAGGAAAATGCTTGGCATCGCTGTTAATTAGGTTTTGTTCCTAAAACTCCAGCTTTTTGATAAATTCTTTTATATCAGAAATCATTTCCGCTAGTTCTTTGTCTCTCCCCTGAAGCTGCAAATAAAGTTCGTTTAATTTCTCTGTAATGTCCACGAGAAAACCAACATCTCTAAGCCAGATTGAATTTTCTAGTTCCGGAGTCGGTTCATCGCGTTGTTTGAAAAACTGAACTATGCCAGATAGGACATCATTAAAACGTTTCAGCACCAGTCCTCTACTTAACCATCGGAATTCAGAGTGAAGGAGTAGGTCCCCGTATTGACAGTCAACTTCATCGGCCAAGGTTTTGAATAATCTTCTTTGTAACGCTTGAGCTCTAATCTTGTTCACAATTTTTACCACCAGTTTCATAACGTTGTTTAGTTTCAGGAAATTTCCACATAATGCTTGCTGATGGATAATGCAGTGGTAACAGAGAAATTGCGGAAAAGTATCATCTTTACGACATAACGCCACGAGACCCTTATCACAACCCACCATAGCTACCATTTTCGATATTGGAATTTTCTCGGAAGAAATAATATTTTTTGAATGAGAAAACAACTCCTGTTCAGTAGTATGTCCTTTCAGTGGAATAAACTTCAAAAGATATTCTTTAATCGTAAAATCACTAAAAACCATCCTGACGAACACGACCATCTGGGCAGTGTCAACGACATCTGTTGATTCATCCAGTTGAAGTGAAAAATAAACACAGTTATCTAAGTCAGTTCTTAACTGTAAAAAAATATAATTGCTCATTACTTCTACACGTCTCATCACTGTATTAGCAGAAAGTTGCATATATTTTATAGCTGAAACTATCTCGTCTTTATTTCTAAAGTTGGCAAATAACGAATCAGCAGCTTCTAAAAACGCCTGTTTTATCATTTCCTCGTCTTCATAAGGTTTCAATTATTTGGGACACACGGTACGATGCTTCAGTTGCAGCCTTATTTTTGTCGACTGTTCTTAAAAATATTGATTGTTGTCCAATTAATTGCTTTTTAACTGTTTCAGTTTCTCCTTTCTGGCGGCAGAATGTAGTGGGAATGATTTTTCAAAATTAGAATGTACAGTTTTATGATGTCTCTCAATATTTCCTTTTTTAGCAACGGAGACCGAAGTATTACATAACAAACACACATTTTTATCTTTAGCTTCTGTAAAAAAGTATTGTTCTTCCCATTCCGAATGAAAGTGGTATGTCTTTACCTTCTTACAACTGCTTGCCATAATATTATTTTTTGTTGTTCTCTACTAACCCAACCGCTGGACGTTGGTTAAGCGTTCAGTTTTAAACTAAGCGCAATGTCGCCGCGCCGTGCGTATTTGTCCCGTTCAAAGCAATCCTGATCGTTCTCGAACACTAACGCGCTGGTCCGGCTGGTCGGTTCTAGCCGATTCTAGCTTGATGGCGTCAGCGACAGATCGCTCACCGCAACGTTGCCGCTGTTTATGTTTAATTAGATTTTTTTGTGGAATTTTCGGAAGCTTTTCTGATTTTTGCAGTTTGTATTTTTTAAATTAAAATCGTTGTGAGAGCTACCAGAATTGCCTCCGCGAGCTACCGGTAGCTCGCGATCGACAGGTTGGCGATCACTGATATAGACAAAATATTTTACCTTTCTGCAAGTCACTACTTTTTACGAACATTAATATTGCTAGATTTTCAACAGATTTGGCTTTAATTCTGTATTAAATATATCTTGGTTTTGATTAAAGAACCACTAGGTACATCTAGTGGTAACTAGGGTACCCAAAGTCAAATTTCCTCTTACTGGAAATGCCACAAATATCTTATTTGTATATTGTGACAATCAAATTATTATTTCACAATAATTCTTGTACATTATATTGGAATAATTCGAATTTACATAGAATCATTGAAAATAAAAATGCTTTAATAATTAGTCAAAATTAAAAAATAAAACTTCAAAGATTATTCGTCGACGTACAATATTTTAATGATGTAATTTATAGTAGGATTTGTAGGTTATCATTATTTGATGAAATATTTTTAGCAAACAATAATCTCAGGATAGCGAATCAATACTTACGTTCTAATGCACAATATAACACTATTAACAAAATTCTAAAAATTTAAAATTTACCAAATTTCCAACCTTGATTCTTATACCAATCCAGTAGTATCACTGAATTTTAAAAAATCCCCTACTAAATATATTTAAGATAGCATTGTATCTAATAGTTTAAAGATCTTTATTTGATTATTTAATATCAACTGATTAAATACGTTTAAATTATTAATCTTTTTACATAATAGATTATTATTATTTTCTTAGTTTTACTCACTATCAATCTAATAAATAGATAATTAATAGATGTATAAGTGATTCAATTAAATGTCTTTAAAGGAATTAATTTGACTCTTCTAGTTGACAAACAAAATACAGGTTTATTTTTTGATGACTTTGCCTCGCAAAATAAATAGAAAATTACACAATACAAATCTGGGACTGTCATTCGTCTTTCAAATACTAAAACTTACTGTAAATTTGATAAACGAAATAGTGTCACTCGCCTCTATGAGATAAAGTAAATAAACCTAACCTAAATAAGCATTATTTATGTAGTAAACTCACCTCAATTTCTAAAGACATTCTGCTTCCAATATAACAACAGCATAACACATAAAAAAAAATAAATGGCAAAAACCGACAACGCAAACCTCTAATTATTTAGAATATAGTGCTTTCTCTTGCTGGACATAGGATGAAATAAAACAACTACATAACCCATCTACTTCTTACAAATCAGAAATTATTCATTAAGTGTTGGCCTTTTACAACATTACCTACGGTAATTTTATGGTCGTTTGATACTTGGGAAGGACTAAAAGACCTCGTTGAAAGACACATGCTAAAAAGAATCACCATTTACTTACAATAAATTTCGACAAAACCTTTTTATCCCCTTCACAAGTTATGAAAACCACTTACCCGTGTATAATTTTTTTAACCGTACAAACACCAGATGGTAATTTAATTAGGAAGTCTACAAATTCTGTAAAATACCATCATATTCAATAAGTTATAAAAACTTTAAGAGTAATATTGTTTAAATTTAGGTATTTAGTAAACACACCGCCAACCAATTAAGAATTCTATATTATTCCCTAGTGGAGTCACGTATCAGTTACTGCAATGTATTTGGAAGAGCTGCTCATGTTTTATTTATTTATTAACAACCTGTATATCTTATTATATCGACTAAAATTAATAATGTAGATCTGCTTTTTTATCAAAAACGAGTTTAGTATTAATTAAATATTTTATTGTCTTAAATTTCTAAAATAGACTAAATCTCTATACATCACTGATTGAGTCTGTCTTTGATTCTTTGCTTTCTTTGGCTATTGAACTCAAATATTTGGCAGTAGCTCTGCCGGTTTGCATCACCAATGAACAGAACACCCCGTCAGGATTTTGCAGAAGCGTATAGGGATGATCAAACTCTACAGCTTTTCCATTATCCATAACCAACACTTTATCAGAATCCATGATTGTATGCAACCGATGGGCTATGGTAAGTACCGTACATGTTGCAAATTTTTTCCTAATAGTCGTTTGTATCAGTCTGTCCGTATGCGGATCAACATTGGCCGTGGCTTCGTCTAGAACTAGGATTTTGTTGTTTCGTACTATAGCTCGAGCCAAGCACACTAGCTGTCGTTGACCTACACTGAAATTAGATCCACCTTCGGCCATCTTACTGTCTAAGCCTTTTTGTAATTCGTTTACGCTATGTTTGAGCTCTACTTCTTCTAAAGCGTTCCAAAGAACCTGAAGAAGGAATAGAGAGAACAATAAATTATTTTGACAAATGTAATGTGAATAATACCAATACCAAAAGGAACTAATAAATGACAATAATAGGTATTTGGAGTTTAGATGTTAGTTATTATTAAGTTGTATAACAGTTAAACATACCTCATCTTCGTATTCATCGAAAGGATCCAGATTCTTTCTGAGCGTTCCCGAAAACAGAACTGGTTCCTGCGGAATAATCGAAATTTTTGATCTCAGACTGTTCAAAGCAATAGATTTCGTGTCTATATGATCTATAAATATCTGCCCGTTAATTGGAGTTAATCTAAACAGAGCTTGTACCAACGAAGACTTTCCAGCACCCGTTCTACCAACTATCCCGATCTTTTCTCTTGGTTCTATAACGATGTTTAGGTCCTTCAAAACATAGGGGTCCTCTGGAGTGTACTTCAACGATACATTGTAGAATTCTACACGCCCTTGTTCTGGCCACACTTCTGCTGGTTGGTTGGCTTCGTCGTCAGATTCTTGTTTAATATCTGCGTATTCCTGGACTCTTTCGACTGAGGTCATCTGGTTCTCGAATTCGCTCCATTGCCGCATACCCCATTGGAACATACCAGTTAGCGCCATCGCTTGCGTGAGAGCCAGCCCGATGTTGCCTCCAAATGTTTCTGAATTCATTTTAAAAGTAAGTCAGGTCACTTTTCTTGTATTTATAACTTACCACTTTTGACAAATAATAACGTCACAATGACTAGGGCGATGTATACAACGCATATAAAGTCCAACCAGAAACCAAAAGTTCTGTTTGCTGCAACGTACAGAAAAAATGCGGCGCTATTCAAATTTTGATAATGATCAAATTCTTCTTTTAGAATATCCTGAGCTTTAAAAGCTCTAATGGTTGTTAGTCCCTGCAATGTAGCTGATAAGTGGGTGAAGATAGGGCTTCTGGCTGCAACATAGTAATTATGATGATCATAAATTTCGTTTCTTGTTCATAAACTAATACTTACTAATAGCTTCTATCCTTTTAATATCTCTACTCGTGTGGACAAATACTATTTTCATAAAATAAAATAATACTGCTATCAATATCGTCGGTATCATTATCCATACTGTTAAACATCCGATTACTAAACTGATTGCAGCTACAAACAGGCCTATCTAGAAACATTAACTGATTATTACATGATTTTCGGCATGTAGAAAATGTGTCCATAATTCTACCTGTATCGTATCCAATAAAGCCATTGGCAGCGTTTCATCCAGAGCGCCTATATCACGAGAAAACCTATTCAAAATCCTTCCAGATGGATTGGTATGGAAAAACCTCATCGGACTGTAAACGATGTTGGTAAACATTTTGTTGTGAAGTTTCGTAGATGCTTGTAAACACCATTTGTAGAAAGCCAAAGATCTGCAGAGGACTATCACTACCAAAGTTGTAACCAAAGCGCTATAGCAAGTAATCGGAAAATCACTAGTAAATAGTAACGACAGCCACCAGTTTTCGTATGGATTGTCTCGTATTGTTGTCTTATATTTACTGGCATTTAGAGGTACAGTGTTGGATGAGTTACTGGATTCAGAGTTGATTTGTTGGATATTTACCCTAAAAAAGTATCAGGGGAAAATGAGTTTAGATTGTCATTAATATTAAGATTATGAGACACCATAAGATAATAGATACTTCTATAAATTACACTTACCAAACTGTTACGAAATATTCAGAAGAACTCTCCAAGACTTGGCTCAAAATGAAAGTGAATGCCAAGCCGATACCTTTAAAAAGACTTCCTCCAGCTCTAGCATAACTCATATACACCCTTCCCTCTATATTTCCCGTACCCATATCTTCTTTTTGCAATATCTGCATTTCATAATCTTCTGTTTGTTCATCTTTAACTACCTGAATTTTCGATCTTTTTTTCGCTACTTCTTCCTCCTCTTCGATGTCAGCTAAAAGCTTTCCGTAATCGGTATTAGCGTTTTTGATGTCTGTATAAGAACCGGAAATTTGTATTTTTCCGTCTTTGAGCAAGTAAATGTTCTTTATTTTCTTTAAATATTGCAATTGGTGCGTTATTAGCACCACGCATTTGGAGCTGAGATAGCTGCATATACATTCTTCGAATAGTTGTTTGCCTACATGAGCATCAACTGCTGATAGGGGATCGTCTAGGAGGTAAATATCCGCTTCTTTGTAGACAGCTCTAGCTAAGTTAATCCTAGCTCTTTGTCCGCCACTTAAACTACCACCCCTTTCCCCTACCAGCGTTCTATCTCCGTAGGGGAAAAGTTGAAAATCCGTTTGCAGCTGGCACACTCTAACCACTTCGTCGTATTTCATTTGATCGAACTTCTGTCCGAAGAGAATGTTCTGTCTGACGCTACCTCCGAACAACCAAGGTTCCTGCGAAGCATACGAAACTACGCCTTCTACTTTAACAGAACCGTTAACTAGTTCTAATTCCTTCATTATTACGTGTAATAAAGTTGTTTTCCCGCTACCTACAGGTCCGACTACAGCCACCATGTCTCTTCCTGTCACATCAAGAGTTATGTCTTCTAAATTGTTATCGATAAGTGATTTGAGCCATTTAGCAGATGCGTTTTCGATGTGGATACTATAATGTTTGTCTATTATGTTCATTTCGGGTGAAACGGATGTGGTATCTTTATCCGTTATGTATTTGGGAGCTGGGTGCATGTATTGGGTTTCGGATATTTTTGTGACAGATTGAGGTTCGATTGTTATCTCCTCGTACTGCAGAAATTTCTGTATTCTTTGCATCGATATGTATATTTCGGCGACTTGAGATACAGCAGTCGGGAAGAAATTTGTAACGTTGTTCAGCAGTCTGTAGTAAGAGGTGACTGTGTAAGCGTAGGCTGCTGTAAGGGGATTATCGGTGAGGACGTACACCAAGATGCACACTGCTATAGCGCATCGGTTTAGCGTCAGTATGCAGGACATTAAAATGGCTCTGATTATTGATGTGTATTGAATGTATTTCATTTCTTTCCTAAAGAGATAAAAGCGTTTTAACACCGTGCAAAAGATTGTAATGGAAATAAGACACACATTGGAGCGAGTGGTAGAGATGGCCACTTTCAAAAATGGGGAATCTAGAGACAGTTTTTGATTGGTTAATAATCTGCAGGAGCTGGAAAAATGACTCTCTCTCTATAATTTCAGCAAAAACCAGCAGATTTTGAAAGGCAGGTTCTGTATGCCCCTATAGAATTAACTCACCCTCCACACTTTATATATAGAGAAGAATTTGAGGCAAAAACACATTCAAAGAGAAAGTAGATGAAAGAATGATGATAAACAGAGACGGCTCTTGGCCTAGTCTACGAGGAGGCTACGGAGGCTCATTTTAGTTATAACAGCGTTTATGTAAGCCCAAAACCTACGTTTTCTCGAACTTACCAGACCCAAAATAGCCTTACCGGACCCACTTGCGGGTTTGAGTAGGCTCTTAATGCTTTTGGTATGAATTTCCGGACGAAATTTCAGTTGGGTCTCAAAAATCGGCTTAACACCGATTTTAGTTCAAAGCAGCTGGCACTAGGCGGCGCAGTCTTCAATTTAAGTATATAATTTATATACACGAGTCCATTTATGATGTTGGACGGATCTTACCAATCCCTAGTATTGGCAACACTTTAATATATATCATTTGTAGGTATGTTAGATAGTTCTTTTCAAGTCCTTTTGTACTTTCATGTGGTTTCTGATTATTTTATATTAATTTTGGGAACTGTTGGTTTTTACGAAATTAATGACTAATTTCTGTGTGAGTTTAGTTTCCTTCTAAATAAATAAGTGTTCGAGGTATTATCTATCAGATGCATTTTTTTTGTTTAATTTATATTTTCATTATTAATTTTTTTTATTCACGAAAGAGGGTGGTTTTGGAAAGATATAAGATAATTAAAAACAGGCGGAACGTTGACATTTTTTACACAAATACTACAAAAAAGAAAATTTTAAAGGCTATCTAAAATACAAAATTAACGAGTTTTTAGTAAAAAATACGGTATGTCAAATTAAGTCGGTGTAACAACCAAATAGTCTATAGACCGATTAATAACAACTGATAGGTCTTTAACTACTTTTATCAATATAATATTAAAGAAAAAAGGCAGCACTGTCACCAGTTAAAGGGTCCTGGAGTCCTGAACGAACATCCATTCACCAGTGACAAAAAAATAACAAAAAATCAAATTAAAAACAAAATAATCCATTAATAACATAGTCGAGTGGTTCTTGGCAACTAATTATAGTATCTTCTAGTCATTAGGGGTAAAAACGCCGAGGCTTCACGAAAGATCGGAATAGACAACTATTTATAAACAATAACTTTTTAATTACAAATTTTAGGAAAAAAGGTTATTTTTCATAAAAAGTTGAACGTGGTCTAAAACCTAAAATATAACTATCTGAATATCAAATTTTATCAGTCGTATACGAGGTTTGTCAAAAATACTTTACTCTTGAACGAAATTTATATTTTTCGTGATATTTTCGGTTTTAGACCATGCAAAACTTTTCATGAATTGTAACAAAAAAGTAACCCATATAATTCCGACTTAAGTGGACACCTTATAACATTTAAACGTTTCTTTCCTAAAATACAAAATAAATTATTATTATTTATATGAATTTGAAAAACGCATACTTTAAAAAATTATTTCCGTTTTTGTCAGGAAAATAAATATGTATATTTTTTTAAATGGAATCCTGTATTTCAATTCAATAATTTATTTAACCCTAAAAGCAATTGTTTTTTTGTAAAATTAGAGAATGATACAGACCAAAAATAAAATTATTACAATTTAGTTAGGTTAGTAAGGATTTCAAAATTGTTTAAAATACAATTACAAGATACCAAGATAACGAATAGTAATGATATAAATGTTTTGTATTTTGTGTTTTGATAAAAATATAGCTCAATTCAATTTAATCAATCTTTTTAAATTAAACATTCTATATATTACAAATGAAAGAAAACACAAAACATTTTTAGTCTATTAAAATTGTTTAACGATGTAAAATCATCCAAATCTGTTGTACATAATTATCTACAGGATATTTGGTTTAAATAAGTATAAGTTTGATTCGCTCCCCATTTATGGACTACCCTGTATATTTAAGAATAATTGTAAAATATGGTCATATTAAAAATGTCATCGATCAATTACGCACTGATAAGGTACCCATTATATGTATAATAGGCTAAAATGTTGGTTAGTTTCAACCACAAGGAATTTAATTTTGCAAGGAAGTGCATTTGAAAATAATTCGTACTGTTTTAACAAGCACAAGCCTGCTGATAAGTCTGGCAATGTCGCGGGTCTAGTAATATGCGTTAGGAATGGTAATTTATACACAAACGGGACTAAACATGCGGTTACGCAAAGAGGTTCAGTAACATCGATTAAATCTGAAATTTCACGATATTCAAAGGGTTTGAAATTATATATTTTCAGTCTCGTGGGCTTTATAGACCTCTATTTATATATTTCTATTAGAATACAAAAGACAGAAATATTACATTGTATTAAGTATACAGGGTGTTATTGAAATACACGTACATATTAAAATGGGGAATAGTATGTAATGACCAAAAACGATTGGCACCAATTTTAACTTCAAATTCTAAAATTTAAATATTGGGGAAGAGTCCCCTTTTCCGACCTACTAGTTTCCATATTTAAAGAAGTAAAATAAATTGAAATTGAACTTATCCATAGAAATTGCACTGTTGCCGTAGCAAAACCAATTAATTCAAAATAAAGTTTATTACAGTAATTGTTCAAAATGCCGTCCATTATTATTTACACACACTTGCAATCGTCTTTCCAAAGAACTTTGAACATTAGAAATTAGTCTTGGATTTTGTCGTAGTTCCTCGGCTACCGCATTAACTTTATTGGTTAATTGTTCAAAACTATTAATAGGTTCATTATAAACCAGTTGTTTCATGTGACCCCACAAAAAGAAATCGCATGGATTTAAGTCCGGAGATCTCGGAGGCCACTTAGTAGGTCCATTTCTGCCTATCCACTTTTGAGGAAATCTAATATTCAAAAACTGCCGTACGTTTAAATCAAAGTGAGGAGGAGCGCCATCTAGTAGGTACCACATCCGTTGCCTTAATTGTAACGGTATCTCTTCTAGGAGTACTGGCAAAATATCTTCTAAAAAGTGGAGATATCCTGGCCCATTTAATCTGTTCGGGAGAACATAAGGCCCGATTAAATACTGATCTATTATGCCAGCCCAATCATTTATTGAACATTTTCTTTGATGCCCAGTTTCCCTAATGGCGTGAGGATTTTCATCACTCCAAATATGCGTATTGTGCATATTGAACACGCCATCACGAGTGAATGAAGCCTCGTCAGTATACAATAATATTTTTAGAAAATCAGGAATATCAACACATTTTTGAATCATCCATTCACAAAACTCCACTCTCTTTTCTTCATCACCTGGATATAAGGCCTGGACTTTTTGGATGTGATAAGGATGTAAACCTTGTTCTTTAAGTGTCCGCCACACAACAAATGAGGACACTCCAATTTCAAGACCTAGTCTTCTACAACTTAATTGAGGCCGGTTTTCAACAGCTTCCAATATTTCTTCTTCGGCCGCCAATGTTCTTTGTGTTCTTGTTCTCCCTCGATCTGCATCGACACTCTCAAATTTTCCATGGTCTCTTAGATGCTGAACAGTTGAAATAAACGTACGACAGTCCGGAATTCTCCGATTTGGAAACCGTTCGCGATACAGGATTTGTGTTTGCCGAGAATTTTCTCCAGCTGCCCCATAAACCAGCACTATATCCGTTAGTTCAATATTCGTAAATAGTGGCATCGTAAAAAAATATTTAAAAGTAATCGTAACAACACTTTTTACCAACTTGGAAATGACGCGCTCGTGTTAGCCAGATTCGTAAATCAACTAAAATTTTAATAATCTATAGTTTCAAAAATGTATAGTTTAAAAACAATCATTTATCAAATATTCTAGTTTTTTGATAACGAGGGTAGTAAAAACCAGTCTTCGGAAATAGAAATTAATTCGAAAATCTTGGCAACATGGTTATTTCTTACAAGACTAGTTTTCTTATCATCTGACAAAAACTTGCATATTAATTACTGTTGATGTTTAAAATAGGTAAATAAACCTAATTTATATAGGTCATCCTCAACATATCAGTGAAGTACGTTTGTTTTAGAATTAATTTTCAAAAATTAATAACTCCCTTAATAAGGGGTATTTTTAAAAAATAATATTTTTCTACATTCAGTGGGGATCTGCGCAATACCCAGTTTTAATATGTACGTGTATTTCAATAACACCCTGTATATTGGGTGCCAGCCTCCTCTAGACTAGACCACGAGCCGGCACTGGATAAAAATCAAATATAAATATATAAAAAAAGAAAAAAATTATAGTCGGATTAGAAGGAAGAGAACAATCATCATGAGAATAAGAAAGATAAAAAAAATGTAAGATATTTTACTTACATTCTTACAAATTCTACTAGTTTGATGAATGGATATTCCCATGTATACATTTTAATTACTTGGATTCCGGCTATAATTTCGTTCATCAGTCTTATTCTTTCATCGGTTCTTATAGCAGTTCCAAGCCTAAAATGCGATGTTTTTTTACCCAACCATGCTAAAAAATTTAAGATATAATTATATAGAAAACTGTAAAATTTTGCAACAAATTAAATAATTCAAATGGACAAAATAAAGATCCTTTAAAACTCACAATGTTTATTAAATTACTGATGCACATAGGGTTGTAGTTGATAAACATTTTAATTACTGAAGCAAATTGTATTGTACAGTTCATCAAATTTCTAGAGGTGTTCGACGCCCAGACAGAAAACGCACTACGTGTGACTAAGATAGCTATTGTACAGTCTACTAAACAAGTTATTTTAAATAGTTTTTAATATATTTAGGTAATTAAATTTTTAAAGTGTGGAATAATTTAGGGATTAAATTGGTCTGATTGGACTTTCTTAGAACGTTTTTAAAAGCAGCTAAAGATAGTATGTAGAATTGAAAATAATTATTATGCCATAAAAGGTGTTTTGGAATTCCTTCAACCTTTTGAAATTGAGTCAGAAAATATAAATTTTATAGGATAGCGGAAAATACCTATAATTTTTATGTAGGCCTTTGTAAATCGTGGAAATAGTTTATATTTTATTTCTACCTTATTAAGGAAAATGGTACCTATTATTAATAACGGTTGTTTCTGAAACATTACTAAAATTTTCGAAATTTTGTTTTTCTACAAAATAATAAACTATACTATTTAGAAAAAAATTTATTTCTCTTATAATTTTATAAAAAATAACAGGGGAATATTTACATTTCTTGATCTATTAAACAAAACGATAAATTATCTCGACGAATGACACCATGTTCTAGTACGGAAGCTAGCTTTACATTTTTGTTGGTGGTTTCATGGGTTTCATATCAATTTTTTGTAATTGTAGTTTACACGTACATATACCTCTTAACACTTGTTTGCTTTATTAAAAAAGTGTGTTGTTGTGATTTACGTCGAAATAAGTCAAAAGCAACTTGAAACCCCATATAAAATCAAAAAGGAGAAACGGAAAAAACTTGAGCCTGTAAATGAACACAACTCAGAAACAAAAATAGCTATCTAATAATAAAAAAATAAAATTTGATTCTTGTGCATCTTCGTTGTAAAATAGATAATACTTTTTTGATCTTAGGTACATATATAATTTTAATGGTCTTCCGAAAAACTTTCTTCAGTTTCCATATCAGATTCAAAATCAGTCTCACTGTCACTGTTTAAGTTAATTATAAATCTATCAGTTGCCTCATCCAAAGTAACTTCTCTGTCATAAAATTTAGATTCCCACATTTTAGCATTATTACAACGAGATTGCCACTCCTCTTTAGAAAACGTATCAAAAAAGTCTACACACATCAGTTGTACGTCTTGCCTCTTAAATGTAGTGTTGTTACTAGCTACATATTGTTTCAATGATGCCCACACTAATTCGATCGGATTAAGATCGGGATGATACGGTGGCAAACGCAAACAACTAAAACCATGTTCATTTATCATTTCTTTAATTGCATACCTCTTAAATCGTGACTTATGCAATAGCAATAAACTGTATAATTGCGTTTTGAGCATATCCTCTTCGTAAGCAATATTATGATTCCTTAACCAATCCTGCATGTCAGCTTTTTTAGAAGTTGACGTTGGTGCTTTATTTAGCTGGACATTATGGTAAGGAGCATTATCAACAATAATGACGCTTCTTGGAGGGAGGTTCGGAAACAGCTTTTCTTTCAACCATTTAAAAAAATTATTAAAATTCATTTCATCGTGGTAGTCTCCACTTTTGGTTCCAGATTTGAAAATTAACCGGGCATTCGGAATAAAGCCCATTTCACCTCCTGCATGGACAATAATTAGTCTATCATCTTTATTAATTGGTTTCTTTAATCCCTCATTTGAATTATCACTCCAAGCTTTCTGGTGTGTGTGAGAGGCATGAATGTATGTTTCATCTAAGTAGACAATTGGACGGCCCTCTGCTCGATAACTTTTTAAACGAATCAGATAGTCTAAACGTAGCTTTTGAATATCAAACCTTTCCATTAATATTTTTCTGTTTGTTTTTGTTTTCCGCCAACGAAATCCTAGCGACTTTATTATTTTTCTTAAACTTTCATAGCTTCCTTTGTACCCTGTAGCTTCTCTAAATTTAGTCAGAATTGTTTTTAATGTTGGAACAATATTTTCCGAGATTAACATGAACAGAATAATTCTTTATAAAATACCTTTGTCAGCTTCATCTATATCATTAACTGTTTTTGGTTTTTTAATGGTTTTTCTTGGTGATGAAAATTCCGATATCTCACGGTTATCGATTCTTTTTTTCCCTCCACAAATGCGGACGACAGTGTTTTTAGATACTCCTGTGGCTGCAGCAACACGATCATTTACATTTTTAAATGGTATTGAAGGTGAATTAAAGTTTCCTTCTCTTGTCATAAACTCTATAACATTGGCTATTATTTCGCGAGATTGACTGTTAATCACGCGGCCTCTTAATTTGCTATTGAACTCCATACTTAGGTTCTATTAAACTGTAATGAGCAAAAACACAAACGAAAATAAAAGAAATGTTTTAGCGAAATTTACATCTGACATTTACGTCTGAATAAAATAGTGAAATACTTGATGCGCAGAGTGTACATTCATTGCGTAAATCCGTCGGCCCCGCCAACCGATGCCTCTCAGTAGTGCTTTCTCTGTCTAGCCGTCGAAAGCCTCTAGAAATTTGATGAACTGTACAAGAACTAATTGTACTTACATTGCATTGGGATGGATAGCAACAGTAATACAGCTCCTGATAATGCAGTCCATCCAGCACTTACATACAAAAAATACATAACCAGTATTGTTTCAACAGGTCCAACATAGAGATTATGTATAAAATATACTGCATAGTCAAATCTAGCCACATCATTTGACAGAAGATTAACCATCTGTCCGATAGTAGTTTCTGCTACAGCAGATTTGCTTAACCTTAGAACAAAAACAATAATAATTAAGTAAGCACTCTTGGTTTGATAGTTTTTGCATTCAGCTGATTTTGATAAACTATGAAGGCAAAGAAGTTTCAGATATTGTACGAGTTAATGATACAAATATGGAGAGAAGAAAAAATCTTAGAAGATTGGAAAGTAGGAATAATTTTGTGCCCATAAAAGAGAAAGAATAGTTAACAGAATTTGGTATTTATAGAATGTTAACTCCTGATAAGATATTAACAATACTAACACTGAAAATGCCAAAGGATTATACTGAAAAAATAATTAGGGTATACGAGAATGAATTTTGCCCAATAAAATCAACAGTAGATGCCATCCACGTACTAAACCAAGTGATAGAAAGATCATATGAAAGAAACATTGATTTACATTATAATTTAACTAAATTTTAAACAAGCATTCTATAGTATAAGGAGAAAATCATTATTTTTCGAAACAAAAGGACTGACAGTACCACAAAAACTAATATGTTAAGATAACCATGGAAGGATCAATAGTTGTAGAAATAATAATACAAGAGTGTATAATCAGAATATCTTTCATATAGAAAACAAAATGAGTACAATCGTATATAATATACACCTGATTTTATCACCTACACCTATTTAGGAGAAAAGATATGTTGTGCAGCAAATTTAGTATCAAAGTAAAGCTTTTAAATGTCTAAAAATGGTTTATACCTTAGCGCTTTCCTGTAGATCAACGAGCACAAAGCCACCCTTAGTTTCATCCCTACTTGCATAAGACCCAGATTATAATTATGACCAGTGCAGGAGTTAATAAAAGAGGTCAAAACTATGAAACTGGCGTACAGGTAAATTTCGTTTATATCTTCTTCCACTCTGTTCCTTTCGTATATTTGAATCATTCTTGTTATAAGGAATGGTTGAGACATTCTAAAAAACGATGTGGATTAAGTTTTTTTAGGGCGAATTATATAATATAATTAATTTATTTGTTAAACTACTTTCAATCGACTTCTCTTGTTCGATGGTTGGAAAGACGTTGAAGAAGCCTCTGGGTATTAAGGCTTTCGATGTATAACACTGAGGAACTTTTTCGATAATAATTCATGTGAGATACGTCAGGCATATCCTTCAAAAAAGTATTTTATTTTGAGTACAATATTTATATATGTTAACTAAACCAAATTTAACCATACTCTCTACAATACTTAACCATACAGTCTACAACAATATCAGGCATTATTTCATCAAAATCAAGCTAGAAGTTAGAACAGGCATTATACAATACTTGGATACAGGAAAAATCTGAAACAGCTACTAGGAAGTGCATTGCAACAAATGCAAAACAGTATAGAAAATATGCAAAAACAAATGAATATCTTAAAGAAAAAAGTCTAACGAATTATGAAACTGATGAAGAAAAACTGGCAAAAGAAATTGGCGATCAAATTAACAAAGAAGTAGAATGGATAACAGCGGAAAGCAAAAACAGTAGAAGACAAAAACGAAAAGCCAATTCCTCTCCAGAAACCTCTACTGGTCAACCTGGAGGTAGCAAAAATTTACAACAAGATAAAGAAACAGTCGAAAAACCTTAGCAGAAGCGAACTTAAGGCCGTAATAGGACTCCTTACGGGACACTGCGGCCTTAGAAGACACCTAAATCTCTTAGGGATATCTGATGACTCCCTATGTAGAATATTTGAAGAGGAGGACATACTATGCCACTGCCGGAAACTTAAATGGGAACGGGAATGGTACTTCGGCCATGGTACTGCGCCCATCAGACATATTCTTGAATTCATCAAGAAAATCAATCTGCCTAGAGCTTCAGTACAAGTGGGCTTTGAACCACGCCCTAATTCAGATAGATAGAACAGTCGAAAAACCATCAATAAGTATGAAGAATTGCGCCATACACTGGCAGAAAATAATATTTTCTTTCAAGCCACAGCTCTAAGCAATAACCAGTTTAAAATTAATGCTAAACAAGAAGAAGATTTCAAAAATGTCATCAACCTTGAATGCCAAAGACATAAATTGGTATTCCTATGAAATTAAACAGAACAGAGACATTAAAGTAATGGTAAGAGGTCTACCATCTACATGTAAACCAGGAGATATTGTTGAAGACTTGCAAAGTTAAGGATTAAAATGTAAAGAAGCTGTCAATATAATAAAGAAGAAAATAGAATTAACCGAGGATAACACTCATAAACTAAATTAAAAATCATTTCCGCTATTCATGTTATCCTTCGAAAATATTGAAGATATTAAGAGAATCTACGAAATCAAAGCAATACTTAATCTTAAGAGCAAGAATAGAAACCATAAGAAACTCAAAGCTAGTTCCGCAATGCAAAAACTGCCAGCTATTTAGACATACACACAACTTTTACAAAAAAGAATCAAGATGCGTAAAGTGCGTAGGAAAACATCATACGAAGGATTGTGTATAAAGTCCAGAATGACAACCTAAGTGTATAAACAGCTTAATGGAATATCCTGTTAAATACAGAGGATGTGAGGTAGCTAAAACCTTTCAGATAAGGATGGATAACACCAATGAAATTAATGACGAAGAAGAAGAGGCCCATAAACGCTTTTCCTACTGTCAGAAATAAAATAACATATTCTCAGGTAACAAACTCACAAGAGCAACTAATTCAAAGGTCACAACCAGCCGTGAATCCCACGCCACAAATTGCACAACATACTTCAGAGTCAGCCAGCCAGCAGAAAGTACCAAAATATTTAATGCATGCCATCTTCTTTTTAAAAAGATTTTTAAATTTTATGTACTATTGAGTCAGTTATATCGTTGAAAAGCACTTCTACTAACTTTCGAATGATGTATGACATTATGGCACATAGGGGTTGATATTTTTTCTTGTTGAGGTAGATGGTGCATAGGCGATTGATGGGGGATGGGTATTTTGTCATTTAAGTTCCCCTTTCGTATTCTAGAATCAGTTTTAAGCATTTTCCAATATCATCTTTATTTCAAGATATATAGCCATGGTAAGTTTTTAAATTGTCAAAATTGCTAATATTAAAAACACAAACTTTTTGTTTTTATTTACAATGTTTTATGATATGAACTATTTTTTTATCATCCCTTTATCTTTTGGAAGAAAAGCGCTGAAAATTATCTAATGAATATATTATTACCGATGCGAATTAATCAACAAACATTGTCATATGGCGCCATATACTGATTTATCATGAAAAATGTTTCTAAAGTATGCCATGACCGACAAAGACAGAGAGACAAGTTCGTGATAACTACGCGCGGCTTTGAATTAAATCCAAACCGACTCTAGCGCGGTTATGATGGACAAATAATGTTATTTTTAACAGACACGTTATTTGTAAACAGCTTGTTATTTGTGTGTGTTTATAAAATAACAGATCTGTTAAAAATAACACAGGTTGTCAATCATAACTCCCAAAAGAAGAATTGAACGCTGAACATACATAAATTATTTCAAGGCCTACTTTAGAAACCTTCTTATAATATATCCCAAGGTACATACGAATATGTGCTGTATTAGAGTGATGTAATTCGTATTAAAATCTGAAAGTCTACACTTGCGGAGGTGCAGAGTTGGTAGAGATCTTTTTGGTTACCCTGACAATACCACAGCAAACAAATACTTGACTAGACAAAATCTGCGCCTGTTTACAGGAATTCTGATTGATCATTGCCAAGCACGGTAGTTTGATCCACAATACATGGTTTGATCATAGTTCGAAGAATATTTGTTTATTTAAGACGGTTTAGCGAAGGCCAACAAAGATTCGTTAGTATTCGCTCGCAACCCGTAGAGTGTCGGTAACTTCAAAGGAAGTGGAGGGAATCAGCGAATGCGGGGTGGTATTAGCCATACGAATTATTATTATCCTTAATAATCAGAATAGATTCACTCTATGACAGGCTCCAGAAGCTAAAAGAAATAAATAAACCCCAAATATGTAACAAAACCACCAATGGACAAAAGATATAGAATAGGCACTTGGAAAGTCAATGGTATTCTCCTAAAACAAACTGATATCCAAGTTTTCTGGAGACCCACCTTACAAAGGAGTCATACATTAAATTCAGAAGTTACAACTTCTATCACACTATCCATCCATCAAATGCTGCAAGAGGAGGAAGTGCGTTAATTATTAAAAATAACATTTCCCACTATGAGGAACCAGGCATTCAAGAACCAGACAGTCAGGTAACCATTAGCACCATTAACATCAAGGAGATCAAAATTACAGTAGCTGTAATCTATTCAGACAACATCAACTCACAGAAAGCCACCAGGATATGACCTTATTACTGGAGAAATATTAAAGAAACTATCACGGAAGGCTATTGCCAAATTGGCACATCTCATAAATGCAGCATTTCGTCTTAAATGTATTATGGAGATGTGCCAACAAGAGTAATATTAACATGATACAAGTTTTCCAAAATAAAGTCCTAAGATGCATTGTTGATGCACCTTGGTTCTATTGATACAATTATCTTCATAGAGAGCTAAAGATGCCAACAATCGAAGAAGAAATAATGAAGTTTACTGCGAAACATGAGGATAGACTCCACTTCTACGTCAACGAAGAAGCGCTGCAATTACTGGACAACTCTACATTCAACAGAAGGTAAGAAGCCATTTGAGCTAGTGCAATGAACGTTAATGTTAGTGCTAGTATAAAACAGTATACAATGGGGACTTCTTGGAAGTAATTAGTTTATATTATTTTTAGATTAAAATTGTAGGTTCTATAAAACTGCCATACTGCTCACAAGACTAGATACTGTCAACAAAATATCAACATACTGTCCACCAAACTGCGCCAAATAATTTTGTAAATTATTTATAGTCTTAAAGAAATGAATTTGAACAATTCAGAACATAAGCGTTATATATTCAAATATAATGTTGGGTACTAATTAACAGTGCTGTTCCTAAAGTGGCGCTGGAAAACAGTAACAAAGCCTGCACAAAACACGAGGCTAATAACCATAGCAGTTGATGCCGATGACACAAAAAAATATTTAATTTCTACTAAAAATAGTTCTTCCATTATCAATTGCAGATCATAAAAACTCGTTAGGAACCTTTACCATAGGCGTAGATACCTACCTCATTTTATAAATTTATTTTATTAATACTTTTAATATATATCATATGCAAGAAAGTATTCGTTAAAAGGAAATCGAATAATTATAAATTGGACGTTATTATACGCCCTTATTTAGACAGATGCACTTAATTGTAATCTTACTTGGACTTAAAAAAAAATCATTATAGCTCATTAACTTCCTACAACTGAATATTAAATTATAAAACGTAAAAAAGCGAGTAAAGTGTACCTGTCTGTAAGGGCGTTTGGTTTAAACAGGGTACCAGACGTGAACTGAACCCTTTTTGTACCCCATTCGTTCTTTTTCTGGAAAACGAAATTTCAAAGAAAAAACCATAAAGGAAAATAAATTCTTTGCAAATAAAACAAAAGAAAAAAAAAACAATTCAATTCTAAAGTATCTTTATAAATAATCATGGCAGTCTGAATCCTCTGAACTAGAGTCATCATTTGGTTGAATTATGATGGGTTGTAAAGAGGGTAATACTACATACTCATCTTCTTCTTTGTTAACATATTCAACACAGTTTTTCCAAAGCACTTGGCGGTCTGCAGCTAGAACTTTCTTTACGAGTTCTACAACTTCTTTACTCAGTTCTGGAGACTGATTACATTTTCGTAATTCTGATTTTAAGTTTGCCAATATTTATAGGGTTAAATATGCAATAGTAAGGAGGTAGTCTGAGAATAGTTTGCACAGCTTGTCAATATAATACATTTTTTCTAACTTTATACCTTTAATAACAGTAAGCAATTCTTTGTTGGTTCTTTTTTACTATCACTGGCAGGAATAGGAATATTTTTTTCAGACATAAAAGCTAAAATTTGAGCTTTTTTACTGCTACTATTTGGTATTTTAAGGAGTTGCCGCGAGTGGTAGGATGCGTTGTTCATAACGATTACTGACTGTGGTGGAATGTAAGGTAAAAGCTGTTCATTAAACCGTTTTTCAAATAATTCTGCTGTCATATGGCCCATTCAAACAGCAATTTTTACTACTGCCAACCCAACCGAAATTTACTACATCGTGACTGTCAAACCATGTTTCATCTAGATAAATTATGTGTCTATTAGAACTTCTGTAGCCTTTTATCTGACGCAAATAATCTTGTCGCCATTGAACTATCCTTGACGATTCGGTGATTGCCATCTGTTTATTCAATTTTTTGTGTTTAGAACCACATGCTGACAAAACTTGACGAAATGTTTCCAAACTGGTATAAGTGTATCCTGGAAAATCTGCCACCTTTTGCTGTATTACTTCCAATGTCGGAACCCTGTTCTCCTTATATAAACTATAAATTGTCCTTCGTATAAAATCTTGGGTAGCTCTGTCAACTGATTTCAGTTTTTCTTTACATGTTTTTCGGTTTTATGAATAATCCACAGCAACCCCTTTCGTGACTACCGGATAAACGGAAAATTTATTTACTTTAGTTAATTCAGCAATTGTTATTATGAACGCATTATCAGACGGCTGAATATTTTCCTTTTTTAAACATTCGAATATATTTAAAATAACTTGTTGTGTTTGTATATCTAAATCCTTATCGTTAAAGTCATACCTGTCTTTAATCTCACTACACTGTGCAATTTCATTTTCTTCATTCGTCCACGGTCTAAAGAACGCCATATTTATATTTATTAAAAGAAATTTAAATTAAACCAACCACACATACAAAACACACCGCACGACAGTACTTCACTGATATCGCAGACTGTCTTCCAGGAATATTTTCGAACACTCCTCCCCTTCGTAAACCTTCGGCCAATACAGTGCATTTAAGTTTACGATTCGATGTTTTCATTGGTAAACAACTGATGGTTCGTTTAATATTTACCGCTTTGTATAAGGGAAGTAAACATTATTTTTCGTTTCTTAATTTGGCATGAGTACCGTGCGTATATATTAAATATTGATGATTCCCCACATAACTGTGTTCTGCAATTGATAATGGAAGGACTATACCTCTGCCCTCCTTTTACCACCCCTTTTCTATGTTTAATGTTTACATTCCTAAAAATGAGATTTATGAATGATTTGTTGGAGAGTACTAACAAAAGAAATACGAAATAAAAGCCAAATATGCTTACTTAATTATATCTACCTTATAGCTTCGTGAACTATGACGATGGAGTTATACAATAATAATTCTACAAAGAACACATTGGCTAGCGCTTTTATTAGTGACAGATTTTTGGATTGGATCGCTTGTTTTTTCCATTGCTCTTCGAGTTTCTCTCCAAGCTGACCGGAATCGTGATCTCGTCTGTGTTCGTAAATATCATCTTCGGCGAGGTCTTTTTTGTAGCCTTTTATAAAAAGGGGAAAAAGCCAACTGGAAATAATAAAAAGATTCTTTAAGTTTTTCAGGATGGGACAAAAAAGGGCATTATCTCAGACTCGGTATAGAATAAAATGATTCTGCAGTATGGAAGACGAATCTGGAAAACATATTCTATGTACCTATGTGCCTCTACTGAAGCCTACAAACTTTAAACAAGTCTAAATTCTACCGTGGTCTTCATTAAAATGTGTACTGTGAACTGAATGTAGCGCAATAGATCCATCTGGGCCAGAGTGGAAGCAGATGTCGGTATTCACATGAAACCTTGTAGTACAGGTTGAAAACCAACAGTGCCTCCAAAAATGTACGAATTAAAATTAATACTTATAGATCTGTTAGTGATACCTATAAGTAATTTAATTCTATTCTGGGTATTTTCTTTTTATTGTAAATCAAACGTGGGCTTACCAAAAAAATGTGGAAGACACTATGTTGGCATTGTCAAGAGGATTTTCCTTTCGTTGTGGTAGATTCTGTTTCTGTTCTTCCATTTTCGACTAAAGTCTAAAAATAATCGGAACGAAAAATTTAATAAGAACATCCATATTCTAGGACATAGACCATTCTTCCAGAAACAAAGCATTAGGTAGGTTTATATAACTTTCATATCTTGGATGACACTTTTGGCAAATCACTGAAAGCTCATATGCCAGGTTTATGAAAGCAAGAGATAAGGAGGCGATTCGGTCTCAAAAACGTTTATTGAGCTTTTACAATTCACCGCAGGGGCGCTGGAGTTGCTAATACCACAACTCCGTGTCGGCGTCTTTGATCTGGCGGTCGAGAACCAAGCAAGACGGAATGGTGCTATCTCTGTTAGATTCGAGGGAAAAGTCGGGCCCGGATTAAACAATTTTTTTATTATTGAAAAAATTGAAAACCTTGGCGTAATAAGGTTGGTTACATGCCATATTAAGTAAGTTTTGGGAAATTAAATTTTTAATTTGTTTTAAATCTGTCAAATATAATTAGAAACATTATTTAAATATAAGTATTACGAAAAATAGCACATCTTTCGGATTAGAGGTAAAATAATTTGTATGTGGCTAGTAAAATCCTCGTTAACAAATGTTTTGAGCTAAAACAGTCACTTCACGACAAATTGTGGCTTGGATCCTTTTTACACCAAGGGCTTCAATTGTTAAAGAATTGTGTCACGCTCGTGGATGCAAATCAAGTGGTACCCCGTGTCTCTGGCAAGTGTTACTCTTCGCGCAAAGGGTTTATACCTAGATAAACGAATGTTTCGACTGAGGTCTGGGTAATCTATGGTATTTTGGAATTATAAAGAATTTGTGCTTTTATTTTAACAATATTGGTTATATTTAGATGTATTCTTATTAATTGAAATACAGATTTGTAGAAGTAATACTTTGACAGTTTTTATTAATATAATATATTCAATTTTTATCTGACCATACCGAAGTAGGGAATTTTGAAACTTTATAGTAATGTGAAATTTGAATTACAATATTACACGATATTACGTAATTAGTACTTATTTTAGGTAGGTACTAAATTTGTACTTGGAGAAAGTAATATCGATTTTTACAAGAAAACTTGAAAAGTAAATTAATTTAGTTCCTATTTCTGATGTAAAACTTAAGTTTTGGTTTAAACCAAGAAAACAAATAAATTATAGTTTGTTCAACAAGGGTGGATATGATAGCAATATCACACAAAGACGAAGTTTGAGCACGACGTCGTATGCGGAGTACTCAATCGTCTGATTGTGATATGAACAATCCACTCGATATGGTCAGTATATTTTTTCTACGACCCACTAACGAAAATCTACAAATTTAAAAAATTATTTTAGGTTATTTAGACAAAATAACTAATTTTAAAATAATTTACGAAGTTGACTAATTTATAAAATAAAATTAACATGAAAAATTAATTAGTCCTCGGCCTAGATTCGATCCCGGGCTTTAGCAGATGCTCTGTCCTCATCTTCACCGAAACTTTCAGGACTTTAGTTTTAATACTCGTAATTAAATTAGTATCATGTAGTTTGATTAAAATTTATTTTTTTTTAAATGTGGACACAATAAAAACAAAAATGCTATTATTTATCGAGTCTACACAAAATTTTTAATGTATATTTAATATCAATAACTAAAATATATATTGACAATTAGTTTAACAGAATTTTCACTTATTTAAAAAAATTTAAATAATAGGAGTTGGGTGACCAAAATATGAACTGTGATTTGTAGATTTAATTTTGTTAAAGTGTTCTCACTACCTAAAATGGATATGAAATATATTCGTAGTTGAACGCAATAACATACTTTTTCGTTTTGTAGTATGTGCATAGATTGGCTAATATCCATGCACAGATTACAAAAGGAAAAAGTATGCTATTGCCTTCAATTGAACGAATATATTTCATATCCATTCTAGGTAGTGAGAACACTGCAAAAAAAAATAAATTCGCCAATCACCGTTCATATTTTGATCAACCGACTGCTATTATTTTTAAAATTTTAAATAAATGACAATTCTGTCAAACTAATTGTCAGTATATTTTTTAGTTATTGAGATTAAACATACAATAAAATAAGTTATTCTTTTGGAAAACGTTAGCATGGATGACTAAAGGGTATTGGGTTAATTAATTCTAAAAGTGTGGTACAAATGTTATTTTTTGTAGTCAATTCTTCAAAATTATTTTGAAATATCTTTTCAATATTGAATATTAGTTCTACAAATTCATCATTTGACAGTTGCAGATTTCCAAATGTATCTGGATTGGCGTTATCATATGCCTTTAAAAAGCAATAAAAAGAAAAATCATCTAATTCAACGTGATCTTTGTTATATTTAAGACAGGTATTGCAGAGGAGTGGATCCGCAAGGCTTTTATTAAAAGGTAACCACACACATACCTGATAAAATTTTTCTGTATCAATTCGTCTTTACAATAATTTAGGGAGTTAATAATTTTATCATAAAATAAAATACAAGGTGTTCCATTTAAAAAACATACATTTTAATTTGCCAGGCAAAAACGTGACACCCTGTATATCCAAAGATATTTTTAAAATATGTAGGTATTTTTCAAATCCATATAACTTTTATTTAAAACTTTCTTGCGTGTCTACAACAAAATAATGAACAATAACGCACTAATGGGATACCCTGTATAAATTATATTTTTAACAATGAAAATTTCTTATAATGTGGTACTTATCGGTTTGGGTCCTTGGGAAAACTAAAGAATGTTTTCTTGCAGGTATAACCCTTATTAAAACAGCTTTTGACTGCACAAACAGAATGATGTCTTTTTTTTTCACTCATTCTACTCATAGCTAAAGAGTCACCAAAATAATAACAGTACCTTTAACTCAAACAAAATCAACGAAATTATAGGCTCCACGAAATTATACAATCAACGAAATTATAGGCTCCACGAAATTATACAATCAACGAAATTATACGCACGACTCAACACCTTACCTAAGTACGCTTCTGAACACCAAACCCGTCTTTTCCCTTCGAAGGCGGAGCTTAAGCGATGCCCGACGAAATCGACGCAAACCGTTGCCGCCAAGAGAGTGTTTTAGCTGTATTGTTAAGCTGTGCTAATACTATTAAAAATACGTGGCTTTTTATAGGGACTTTAACGCGAACTAGGGACAAAAATGTGAACTTTATGGGGGGGATTTATTAATGTTGTTGCATCCGTGGATGTACAAACACATCACTTTGGAAACCTGGATTTGATTCGATAGTAAAGAAATTTTATAAATTTCCACTCAGCACACTTAGTGTCTCACACCCAATAATGATATTCATGATTACATAGATTGCTTATCCATATGTAAATCAGATGACGAGAAGCGTATTTCACTAGGCAAAGTTTTCTTTTTATCTAGCTTGTATCAATTTTGAGCACAATCATTTACAGAACCGGTCTGGGAATTAGAATCTTTAGTGTTTTTTGTCATTAAGATTTTTGCATATTTAAATGAGCGTTTTATATAAATATAAGTTTACAGATAATTAATGGTTAATTCTGTTAATTAAAACTAATGTAGAAAGTTACTGTGAAATTAGAATGTCCAATTTGACAAAAATATCATGACCCTCTTTACAATTTATTAACTATTTGTCATTTATCACTAAAAGAAACAAATCATAATTTATACATTGCAATAACTGTCAAAAGAGATTGCAACAAACTTTAAAATATTAAAAATCCAGTGATTTTTTATAAAATTTTTAGTAACATTACCATTAAACTTACTCAATTACTGAGAGTAATAGAAGTAGATAGACTATGTTTGTACAGGCTTGCTAGTATTAAAGTAGTTGCTAGATGGCGCCACCTGTCAGTGGTGCGACTCGACTAAGTGGTTTGCAACTCAGCTAAGCGATCCAAGATGGCGGCCATTGTTAACGTAACGTAAATTCAAGTTAGATAGAAAAATCATGCGCAGTGACAGGCCAGAAGGACCTAAAACTTATATCTCCGTTATTATTATACGATTCAAACGAGAAAAACGGAGGAGTGCAAGGAATTTAATCTTTATTAGTAATCGTACAATGGTGGATATCTGAGGCTTTGCGAGTTGTAGTTCCTTAGTAGTAGTGCGTGAGTTTGGACCTCTTAGCATGAACTTACTGATTCTGTGCCCTCTTATCTATTGCCAGTGAATTTGGTGTTTTGTGGTTATCTATCTGTTCACTGCACATACTTTGATTTTCTTTTACTATACGCACTGCGCAGCTTTCTGAGTGCCTTTTAAAAGGAGATAGAAAACTCTGCCATTTTGAACCCTTATTACGTGTTGCCTACATCTTGGCGCAATATTTTTAATAGATGCGTTTTAATCATCCGCTTCTGCTTCGGAATTGTCGGTTTTTCTTGTTTTAATCTGACAGGTTAAAACGACTAAACCGACAATTCCGGAAGCAGAAGCGGATGATTAAAACGCACCTGATATTTTGCTTGCTGCTGTCAGTGTCAGTGAATATTATTTTTGAAGTCACAGTTTATTGCTTAAGAATCAGTTAGCTCACTCGGACCAGTTGAAAATTCCAAAATAACATCCACTCCAGGGATACAAATTCAGGAAACGCAGAAGGCGGTTGTCATATATTGTATTATCCGAGTTGCACAGTGTATAAACTGAAACATTGAGATCCAAAGTGCCGACGCAGAGTGAGCGATCTGATTCTTTAGCTGTAAACTGTGTCACAGGGTTCAAAATGGCCGCGCCCTACGTTGGGCGTGTCGGACCTCTCTCTTGCCTCATATAGTAATCAAAATATGTGGTTTACTGCCTGTCGAGAGGTTGGACCACATACTTTGATTACTATACGAGGCAAGAGAGAGGTCCGACACGCCCAACATAGGGCGCGGCCATTTTGAACCCTGTGACACAGTTTACAGCTAAAGAATCAGATCGCTCACTCTGCGTCGGCCACATACTTTGATTACTATATAAATGAAATAATCCACAGTTAATTTATCATTATATGTATTTATTTTACTATTTAACTGGTAATACATAATACATAGGTACTAATAATAAACTAATAACAAAATAACTAATATTACTAGTACGTACTTGTTCATAGCTACATTCCTACCTACCAAACAAAGGTGTTTGAAAAATAAACACAAACTTTTATCCAGCCACAACGGCATGTCACGTAAGATTTAAAAATAGTTAATAATAACAACAAAAAAGTAACGCACTATCATGAACATAAACATTGAAAAATAAAAAAGCACGTTCAATGAGAAGGCTGACACTCAGACTCATCGATAACTTTTTTAATGTTTGCAGTATAATTTAATACAGCCATTCGAATACAATTATCCAAATGTTCATCTGTAAGTCGATTGCGATATTTGTTCTTACTAAACTTCATATTGGAAAAAGAAGATTCACACAAATAGGTTGAACTGAATAATGCTTTCACTTTCAAGGCAACACGGCATAGAACTGAATATTTGTCTTTACTTACAATAGGCCAGATACATTTGGTACTTGAGACTAACGATTTTAAGGCTAAATCATTTTGAAACTCAATTACTTTCATTTCTGTTGCAGATATGTCTTCGCCAAAGTTCTGCATAACACAAGTTGCAAACTGTTGGATATCAATTTCCATAAAGGGTGAAACAACAAACTGCGCTACTAAAGCCATTTCGCTGAAATCCTTAAAACGATTTTTGAAGTTATTCTTCAGGGTAGAAACTATTTCTACATGATATTTGCTGTCATAGGGTTCTAATGGATTTTGAGATTTTTTTCTGAAAGAATAAGAAAACGCTTGGCATCGCTGTTAATTAGGTTTTGTTCCCAAAACTCCAGCTTTTTGATAAATGCTTTTATATCAGAAATCATTTCCGCTAGTTCTTTGTCTCTCCCCTGAAGCTGCAAATTAAGTTCGTTTAATTTCTCTGTAATGTCCACGAGAAAACCAAAATCTCTAAGCCAGATTGAATTTTCTAGTTCCGGAGTCCGTTCATCGCATTGTTTGAAAAATTGAACTATGCCAGATAGGACATCATTAAAACGTTTCAGCACCCGTCCTCTACTTAACCATCGGCCTTTAGAGTGAAGGAATAGGTCCCCGTATTGACAGTCAACTTCATCGGCCAAGGTTTTGAATAATCTTCTTTGTAACGCTTGAGCTCTAATCTTGTTCACAATTTTTACCACCATTTTTATAACATTGTTTAGTTTCAGGAAATTTCCACATAATGCTTGCTGATGGATAATGCAGTGGTAACAGAGAAATTGCGGAAAAGTTTCATCTTTACGACATAACGCCACCAGACCCTTATCACAACCCACCATAGCTGGAGCGCCATCGGTTGTCAAGCCTACCATTTTCGATATTGGGATTTTCTCGGAAGAAATAATATTTTTTAAATGAGAAAACAACTCCTGTCCAGTAGTGTGTCCTTTCAGTGTAATAAACTTCAAAAGATCTTTTTTAATCGTAAAATCACTAAAAACCATCCTGACGAACACGGCCATCTGGGCAGTGTCAACGACATCTGTTGATTCATCCAGTTGAAGTGAAAAATAAACACAGTTGTCTAAGTCAGTTCTTAACTGTAAAAAAATATCATTGCTCATTACTTCTACACGTCTCATCACTGTATTAGCAGAAAGTTGCATAGATTTTATAGCTGAAACTATCTCGTCTTTATTTCTAAAGTTGGCAAATAACGAATCAGCAGCTTCTAAAAACGCCTGTTTTATCATTGCCCCGTCTTAATAAGGTTTCATTTTTTTGTGCAATTATCTGGGACACACGGTACGATGCTTCAGTTGCAGCCTTATTTTTGTCGACTGTTCTTAAAAATATTGATTGTTGTCCAATTAACTGCTTTTTTAACTGTTTCAGTTTCTCCTTTCTGGCGGCAGAATGTAGTGGGAATGATTTTTCAAAATTAGAATGTACAGTTTTATGATGTCTCTCAATATTTCCTTTTTTAGCAACGGTGACCGAAGTATTACATAACAAACACACATTTTTATCTTTAACTTCTGTAAAAATGTATTGTTCTTCCCATTCCGAATGAAAGTTGTATGTCTTTACCTTCTTACAACTTCTTGCCATAATATTATTTTTTGTTGTTCTCTACTAACCCAACCGCTGGACGTTGGTTACGCGTTCAGTTTTAAACTAAGCGCCGTACGTATTTATCCCGTTCAAAGCAATCCTGATCGTTCTCGAACACTAACGCGCTGGTCCGGCTGGTCGGTTCTAGCCGATTCTAGCTTGATGGTGCCAGCGGCAGATCGCTCATCGCAACGTTGCCGCTGTTTATGTTTAATATTATGACAATTAGATTTTTTGGGGAATTTTCGGAAGCTTCTCTGATTTTTGCAGTTTGTATTTTTTCAATTAAAATCGTTGTGAGAGCTACCAGAATTGCCTCCGCGAGCTACCGGTAGCTCGCGATCGATAGGTTGGCGATCACTGCTTTAGATCCTCGATCAGCAAGAAATAGAAACCTTTAAATCTTGTGTTAGTTAATAATGAAATTGTCTAAAAATCAGAGCATAGTGAAATAGTGGAAATTATAACACAAACATAAAGAAAATCAAACAAGAAAATAGTAAGTACCTGAGAGACACTAATGGGTGATCTCTTAATTATAATCTTTTAAGATAAAATTGTTGATAGATATAATTAGATCAGTTGCAATGTAACGCTCAATAAAAACAATTCCATTGTTATGTTTTGACATGTTTAAATTACAATTATACATTAAGCTTGGTATCTGATAAAGTGTGATTCACAAAAAATTATTTTTAAGTTAGTTATGACCGACAAAGACAGACATGCAAGTCATATCCGTGATAACTACGCACGGCTCTAAATTAAATCCAAACTGAGACTTAAAAAGAAGAAATGAATGTTCGGTATACGTGAATTTTTCCAAGGACTACTTTAAAATATTTGTGCATTACTTTTTTATATAATAGCAAACATGATAAGATTAAGAAAATTTAAAGTGTCTCAAGTATTTTATTAAAATCTATAATAATATATAAGGGAATTTATTATTTTGTGCCAGTTTACTATACCATTAAAAGTTAAATACAATGGATCAACCAATAGTAAAAATTTCGCAGGGTCTATTAAAAGGGACAACTGGCAAAAACATGAATGGTGATGTATTTTTTAAATTCCATGGGATTCCTTTCGCTAAACCACCTGTAGGGGAACTTAGATTTAAGGTAAAGTGTAGTTATATTTTCATAATTATATATCAGTATTATTAATATCCTTATACAGGGTAAATCCGAAGTTGATACCTTTTTAAACTGGATATAAAAGTTTTTAAAAATAAACCTAATTTTCAAATAACTTTTTAAAATATACAAAAAAATCTGAAGCAGGGCTATAGGGATATGAGTAATTTTCGGAAACATCTTGTATGACATGTGGGTTACGAAGTTACAAAGTTACGAAGTTACGAAGGAGGAGAAGGATGAGAATGATCACCAAGAATTTGTTACGTGGATGTTTTCCTTCACTCAAGAAGATATTACAAATTTTTACTACCAACTACAATTGGAAAATAACGAAGGTAATCCACCTTTCCCGTTAAAGGTGGTCTAGAACTTTGAAGAGAAGCAAAATGATCAATTATTTTCAATTAAAGTAGCTCCTGTTTTGACAAATAGTATAAATTTAGTTCCGATCTAAAAATTGTTCTTGAGAAATAATTTTCAACTACGATCTTGGATTTTTCCTTGATTCAAAACCAAGCTGATTGCAACACATTTTTAGGAGTACATAAATGATATGGATTACATTTGTTATAGGATCCTCAGCAACCTGGACAATCTGAACATTGGGAAGGAATTAGAGATGCCTCGAAAGAAAGACCTGGGTGTTACCAATTAAGTATAGAAAAGATTTTAGGTGGTTCCGAAGATTGTCTACATTTGAACATATATGTAAAAGAAGTATGAACATTTTTTCGTTTCCTTTTCGTTTACACTAAACAGAATCTTAAAAAGTATGATTTGGAACTCATGACAAACAGTTAATATTTTTTAGTTGTCAGACAACAATAATTTAAAACCTGTTATGGTCTGGTTCTATGGCGGTTCGTATAAAAGAGGTAGCAATTGTACAAACGTTTGGGGCCCTGAATTTTTGCTTATCGAAGATATTGTATTAGTAATTCCAAATTATAGAGTGGGAGTATTAGGTGAGTCAAAGCTTCTCATTTAGGCTCAAATGAACGTTTTAACCATATCTTTGATTGCTTGGAGTCTTTAAATTTTCAGTTTATTTATAAAGGTTTTAGTAATTATTAAGAATAATATTTGGTAAAATATTTAAATAATTTATTATCTTTTGGATACTCTTTGCTGTCAGTGGATAAAAAACCTTAAACCTTATGATATTTTAAAGGATTTTTAAGTTTGCAAGATCCTTCGTTAGAAGTATCTGGAAACGCAACATTAAAAGATCAAAATATGGCCCTCCAATGGGTGCAGAAGAATATTAAAAATTTTGGAGGAGATCCGAATAATGTTACTATCTTTGGAGAAAGTGCGGGAAGTTCTAGTTGTCATTACCACATTTTATCACCAAGGTCCAAAGGTTTGTTTCACAAGTAGGTACTTTTTACTATTATATTTGCGACTAGGACATTTTAGCTTCACTGAAACTACTAAATTGGCGTACCTACCCCACAATTTAAAGAAACTGTGCCTACACTTTACACAAGCCTGCATACTAGTGCATACCTACATATCTACAGAGAACGCCAAATAATACTGAATTAAAAAACTTACATAAAACTTATAGAAATAAATTAACAAATACAATTCAAAACGCCAAGTATAATTTTTACAAACAACTAATTAATTCAAACCAAGGCAAATCTAGCGAATTGTGGCGTGTAGTACAAAACCTGAGCGGTCAAAAAAAAAATACAAAAAAAATTGAAGCTATCAAAAATGAAAAAGGAGACACTTTATCTAACGATAAAGCTATCAGCAATGAGTTCAATCAGCAATTTGTTAAAGTGGGTGTTAATCTAGCCGAAAAGATTAAAAAAGATAGTTTGATTTCATTCCCTAAAATTACGCTTCAAAACTCGATGGTTTTTCTTGAAACAAATGTGTCTGAAGTTACAACATTAATAAACGATTTAAAAGACAAAAAAGCACCTGGAATTGATGAAATATGTGCGGAAGTGTTAAAATCAACGGCATCATCAATTGCAAATCCATTAACATATATTCTAAATCAATGCATAAAAAAATCTATATTCCCCTCTGCGGTCAAACTTTCAATAGTGACACCGATTTTTAAAAAAGGTGATAAAAAAATTTTCAGTAATTACCGACCAATCTCATTACTTACGCATCTATCAAAAATTTTTGAAAAATTAATAAAAAATAGACTTAACAATTTCCTAAACAAGTTTAATATAATATCTCCCAAACAGTAAGGTTTTAAAGTAAAAACGTCTACCGAGGATGCTATACTAACATTAGTTTCCCAAATACACAATGCTCTAGAAAAAAACAGACCAAGTCTCTGTATATTTCTTGACCTTAGTAAAGCTTTCGATACAGTCGATCATTGTTTATTACTAGAGTGTTTGGAAAACATAGGTATTAGAGGAATCCCCCTGACCCTATTTAAAAGTTACCTAACTAATAGATATCAGAGTGTTAGAATAAATGGTGAGACTAGCGAACCTGAGCTAATTAAGTATGGAGTGCCTCAAGGGAGTGTCTTAGGTCCAGTCCTCTTTAATATATATATATATATATATATATATAATATATATATATATATATATATATATATATATATATATATATATATATATATATATATATATAATCTGTTTTCAATTGATAGTCCAGGTAGAATTTTGGGATTTGCAGACGATACTGCAATTTTTTATGAGGCAAATAATTGGCATGAACTAAAATATATTGCAGAAAGCGACTTTCTGAAAGTGAAGGGATGGCTAGATAACATGTCACTCACTATAAACATGGATAAATCAAAATACATGCCATTTACTTGCAATGCTTGTTGTCTTCCTTCGTACAACTAACTAACCATAGCGACACGTGGACACCACTACGCACTGGAATCTGTTGCTGAAATAAAATACCTTGGTGTATATATAGATAATCATCTGAAATGGGAATACCATATAAATTATATTATTAAAAAATTACAGGGTATTTTATACAAATTTAAATACTTAAAAACACATCTACCTGTACAAAATCTAATAACATTATATTACGCCTTGGTAGAAAGTCATTTAAGATATGGCATTGTTATTTGGGGAAGTGCACTTAGGTGTCACTTGAAAGCATTAGAAACAATACAAAAAAGATTTTTAAAAATAATTTTTTCGCGAGAGTTTCGATATCCTAGTAACCTATTGTATTCGGAAGGCAAAATTCTGGATCTTAGGCAACTATAGTTTTACTGTTCGGTTCAAAAATACAAGTTCACCACGAAAGAACCTAATCTACCATTCCATTATTATAATACTCGGAACAGAAATCTTCATCATCTTCCTCAGGTTGGTAAATCACTTACTCAACGATCCTTTGCTTACCTTGCACCTAAAATGTACAACCAATTGCCCGAATCCATTAAAAATCTTATTCACAAATCTACATTTAAAATACAAATTAAAAATCTATTGTTTAATACTTCCCGTCAAATAATAAATGATTTAATAGAATCAAAAATACTTACCGTAAAATTGTAAATTTATACTTACTTATAGGCTGTATAAAGATATATGAGTATAATTTTCATGTGATAAAAAATATAGGTAGATGATGTCCGGCTTTGTTAATTTTTCCAATGAAGTCAATAATTTAATTAAATTTTTCCTACACTGCACGTCTGTTATTATTATTGTTATTTAATTGGTTTTACTTTATTATATTCTATTTTAGTGTGTATATGTCTATGTATATGTTTATAATTATTGTACTTATAATCTCCTACTTTTAGAGCGTAAAATATAGTAAATTTTGCTTGATAGTTCTAGTAAAATAAGTTGTGACTATTTTAGTCACAAACTAATTATTTTAATAACTTTTATTTTCTTCTTGAAACAAGTGATTTATCACTTATCGAGTAGCTTATTCATACCAAACTTATTAGTTTTTATTGTATTTTAATTTTGTTCTAACTGTAATGTATATTTTGGATGAATAAATTATTATTAATTATTATTATACCTTTCGCTTAGGCGTTAGATTATGTTAGATTGATGATCTCATCGGCTTCCACTGCGATTCCAAAGGATCTAGTATGGCTTACTTCAGAGTTATGTTTTTGGACCGCTCTTATTTTTAATATTCATTAACGATATAACTTTTATTGTTTCTTATTGTATCACCAGAGTTCTTTCAATGTCATTTTAAGTTAAGTGTTTTTTTTTTTGGCAGAGCAATTCTACAAAGCGGGTGTGCCCTTAGCGTTTGGGGACAAGGTAGTTATTTTTATAAAAATCTCATTGAGACTTTGGGAAAAAAAGCCGAATCAGAAAAGGAAGGTCTACAAATGTTGAGGACATTACCTGTCGAAGAATTGCATCAATTACAAACCAAAATGTTATGGGTAAGTCATTTTTAATAGATAATGTATTGGTCTTTATAGTAGAATCGCAGAATTAAAAAAAAGGGTAATAACTAAATAATAATTATTAAATGTATTTGCTATTTCTAACTCATCAGTTATAATGTTGATTTTGTAATTAATTTTGATTTCCTCTACATTTGATGTCATTGTTTTTATTGTTTTCCATATGTGTTTTGCGGAACTACTATTTTTTTCTATTTGTTCTTTGTAGTAATTGATTTTTGTATTTTTTATTAAATTATTTAAATATGTTCTATAAGTTGAAAATTCTTGTTTAATTTGTTGATCGTCCAAATCTATATTTCAGTTGGAATTGGCAAGCAAAAAAAGAGCCATTGGACCCGTAATAGAAAAAGAATCAGAATCAGCTTTTATATGGAAAGAGCCTAGACAAATTATTTTATCAGGTGAATATAATCACGTACCAATGATAATTGGATACTGCTCCAAAGAAGGTCTCTGTTTCGAAGCAACTTTACCCAATGAATTGATACCAACATTATCTTTCGACCATTTTGTACCTTGGATGATGAATTTGGATTTAGATAGTATAGAGTATAAGGAAATTGTTCAAAAAATTAAAAAGTTCTATCATTCCGGTGATGCTAGAGCAGACATACATTCAGTAAGTGTTTAAGGAAAAAATAAGGATTTCAATTATTGTATTTGTATTTCATAGGTCTGCTCAGATACCATTTTCGTCCTTTGGATCCTAGCTAGCGTACGGTACCACGTTAGATCTTCTTCTTCACCGGTATACCTTTACAAAATGACAACTGAGTGTGTATTGAACACACTGAAGACTATGGAAAATATAACATACCCAGGTAAGTAAAGTTCTATGACAGATAGTAATGTATTGTTATTAAACTCATCTACTTTTAGGAGTAAGTCATTTCGACGATATAGGTTATTTATTTAAGACCTACGTTACTCCAGTCATTCAAGAAGGAAGCCCTGAAGAAAAATATTACCGAAGATGCGTAAAATTATGGACAAATTTCGCCAAATACAGCAATCCCACACCTAAATTAAAAGAATTTGAAGTTAAATGGAAACCTGTTGAAGATCCTGCAAATTTAGAGACCCTAATAATAGGAGACACTTTAAAAATGGAATCCAAAATAGAAAAACAAACTTTGGAATTTTGGAAAAATATATTTAAAAAAAATAAGTTTTTGAATGATTATTTATAAAATAAAATTGATTTAAATACCTAATAATAAACGTTTATTAATATAAAGTCTTTTTACTTTTAGCTGCAATGCCTTTCAAATATTTAAAAGTAGCATTGCCAGTCTCCATCACTAGGGAATAAAAAACTCCATTTTGGTCTTGTAAAAGTGTATGTGGATGGTCAAATTCCACAGCTTCACCGGCGTCCATGACCAAAACTTTATCGGAATCCATGATAGTATGCAATCTATGGGCAATAGTTAATACCGTACAATTTGCAAACTTGGTCCTAATGGTTGTTTGTATCAAGCCATCGGTATGTGGATCTACGTTAGCTGTAGCTTCGTCTAGTACTAAGATTTTGTTGTTTCGCACTATGGCTCTAGCTAGACAAACAAGCTGTCTTTGACCAACGCTGAAATTAGAACCCCCTTCAGCCATTTTACTGTCTAAACCTGATGGTAATTCGTCCACTGCATGTTTGAGTTCTACTTCTTCCAGCGCATTCCAAAGAATCTAAAAAAATATGAAATTTAATACATTTTAAACGATCTAAAGGCGTTACATATATGATGAAGGTAGAAACAGAAGAGTTGTCAAAAAAGAAAGACTATTTGAAGAGGCTTCTTAAAGACAGTTTTAAAGATTATTTATACTTCATCCATTTTGTTATGAAGATAAAGGGCTGCTAGCGACTGAAGATGAAGAATATTGTTTGAAAGGCTTGATCAAGAGTGCAGAAACACTAAATTATTACTGTAATAAAAATTAAGCAAGGGATGTCATGTTTTAGATCCCCATTCAATATCTACCTAAATTTCCCAACTGATAATTCTCAAAATATGTTTTCCAATTGATGTTCTAGATTTCAAATCCCTCAGCTTTGGTAAATAAATTTCAAAATGCTGACAATAACATGCATTTAATTAGAATATTATTTAAAGCGTACCTCATCTTTATATTCATCAAAAGGATCCAAATTCTTTCTTAGAGTTCCAGAAAATAGAACCGGTTCCTGTGGAATTATTGATATCTTCGATCTGAGTCTGTTCAACGCGATATCCTTCGTATCAACATCATCAATAAGAATTCTACCATCGATCGGAGCTAACCTAAAAAGGGCCTGGATCAAAGAAGATTTCCCAGCTCCAGTTCTACCAACTATTCCAACTTTTTCGTTTGGTTCTATCACAAAATTGAGGTTCTTTAAAACGTAGGGATCTTCTGGAGCGTATTTCAAAGACATTTTATTGAATTCAACTTTGCCTTTTTCTGGCCAATACTCTGAGGGTTCTTTAGTGTTTTCGTCTGTTTCCTGTTTAAGATCAGCGTATTCTTGGACTCTTTCTACTGAGGTCATCTGGTTTTCGAATTCACTCCATTGGCGCATACCCCATTGTAACATCCCTGTCAGCGCCATCGCTTGCGTTAGAGCTAAGCCCATATTTCCACCATAAGTCTCTAAAAAATGGATAAAAATAGATTATTTATTATTATTACCTACGTTGGGGTCAATACCCAAGTCTTTTTTATGTATTGGTTTGGTCTCGATGTTATTAAAGTCATAATTTGGACATATTAATGTGAGAGCCTAAATATGCTTTTAAGATGTCTTGTAATACGTCTGGCTTAATCTATTTTAATGTAAGAGTTTGAAGACGTCTTTAAAATGTCTAAAAACGTCTTCTAGCCGTACAAAAACCTGCACTGTTTACATAATTCAAGAAGAAGAATTAACTTAAGTGAAGTTTAACATTTGGTTTAACTTAATAATACATTAAAGCTTATTGAGGGTTCTTGAAGACGACTTATTTATGGCTTATTTAAGACTCTAGAGATAAGACATCCTAAAGACATTTTAAAGAAATGTTAGACGTCTTAAAGACATATTAAGGACATCTTAAAGGCATCTTAAAGACATCTTAAAGACATCTTAAAGACATCTTAAAGACATCTTAAAGACATCTTAAAGACATCTTAAAGACATCTTTAGGATCTTTAGGATCTTAAGATATTTTAAGAACATCTCAAGAAGATATTAAAATGATCCTAAAAACATCTTAAAGACAGACATTTTAAAGAGAGACATCTTAAAGACTGACATCTTAAAAGTAGACATCTTAAAGATATTTTGAAGGCAGATATCTGAAAGATATTTTAAAAACACGACATTTTAAAGGCATTTTAAAAACATTTTAGGCGTCTTAATGACATTTTAAAAACATCTTAAAGACATTTTAAAGACATTTTAAAGACATTTTAAAGACATTTTAAAGACATTTTAAAGACATTTTAAAGACATTTTAAAGACATTTTAAAGACATTTTAAAGACATTTTAAAGACATTTTAAAGACATTTTAAAGACATTTTAAAGACATTTTAAAGACATTTTAAAGACATTTTAAAGACATTTTAAAGACATTTTAAAGACATTTTAAAGACATTTTAAAGACATTTTAAAGACATTTTAAAGACATTTTAAAGACATTTTAAAGACATTTTAAAGACATTTTAAAGACATTTTAAAGACATTTTAAAGACATTTTAAAGACATTTTAAAGACATTTTAAAGACATTTTAAAGACATTTTAAAGACATTTTAAAGACATTTTAAAGACATTTTAAAGACATTTTAAAGACATTTTAAAGACATTTTAAAGACATTTTAAAAACATTTTAAAGACATTTTAAAGACATTTTAAAGACATTTTAAAGACATTTTAAAGACATTTTAAAGACATCTTAGACATCTTAAAGACATCTTAAAGACATCTTAAAGACATCTTAAAGACATCTTAAAGACATCTTAAAGACATCTTAAAGACATCTTAAAGACATCTTAAAGACATCTTAAAGACATCTTAAAGACATCTTAAAGACATCTTAAAGACATCTTAAAGATATCTTAAAGACATCTTAAAGACATCTTAAAGATATATTAAAGACATATTAAAGACATCTTAAAAACATCTTAAAGACATCCTAAAGACATCATCTTAAAGTCTTCATTTTAAATATCTTAAAGATATCTCAAGGACATCTTTAGATCATCTTAAAGACATCTGTAGTAAGACATATTAAGGACATCTTAAAGACATCTTTAGATCATCTTAAGAATATCTTATATCTTTAAGACATTAAAGACATCTCAAGGACATCTTTAGACCATCTTAAAGACATCTGTGACATCTTAAAGACATCTTTAGATCATCTTAAGAACATCTTAAGGACATCTTAATGATATTTTAAGGACATCTTAAAGCCATTTTAAAGACATCTTGAAAACACCTGAAATACATCTTAAAGACATATTAAAGGCTTCTTAAGTGCATCTTAAAGGCATCTTAAAAGCATCGTAAAAGCATCTTAAAGGCATCTTGAAGGCACCATACAGTCACCTTACAGTACAACGAAAAAGACTTTCTTCAATATACAAATATAGAATTTAAATCATTAAATAAATACATCTTAAAGACATCATAAGGACATCTTAAGGACATCTTAAAAAGATCTTAAAAAGATCTTAAAAAGATCTTAAAAATATCTTAAAAAGATCTTAAAAAGATCTTAAAAAGATCTTAAAAAGATCTTAAAAAGATCTTAAAAAGATCTTAAAAAGATCTTAAAAAGATCTTAAAAAGATCTTAAAAAGATCTTAAAAAGATCTTAAAAAGATCTTAAAAAGATCTTAAAAAGATCTTAAAAAGATCTTAAAAAGATCTTAAAAAGATCTTAAAAAGATCTTAAAAAGATCTTAAAAAGATCTTAAAAAGATCTTAAAAAGATCTTAAAAAGATCTTAAAAAAATCTTAAAAAGATCTTAAAAAGATCTTAAAAAGATCTTAAAAAGATCTTAAAAAGATCTTAAAAAGATCTTAAAAAGATCTTAAAAAGATCTTAAAAAGATCTTAAAAAGATCTTAAAAAGATCTTAAAAAGATCTTAAAAAGATCTTAAAAAAATCTTAAAAAGATCTTAAAAAGATCTTAATAAGATCTTAATAAGATCTTAAAAAGATCTTAAAAAGATCTTAAAAAGATCTTAAAAAGATCTTAAAAAGATCTTAAAAAGATCTTAAAAAGATCTTAAAAAGATCTTAAAAACATCTTAATGACATCTTAAAAAGATCTTAAAAATATCTAAAGACATCTTAACGACAGACATTTTAAAGAGAAACATTTTAAAGACAGTCATCCTAAAAGTAGACATCTTAAAAGTAGAGATCTTACAGATGTGTTAAAGATATCCTAAAGATAAACATCTTAAAGATAGACATCTTAAAGATAGATATCTGAAAGATAGGCATCTTAAAGACATCTTAAAAGATGTCTGATATGTTTTAATATATGCTATCTAGGTAATCACTTAACTCACCACTTTTGACAAAAATTAAGGTTACAATAACAGCTGCTATATAAACAACGCTCAAGAAATCTAGCCAGAAACCGAATGTCCTGTTGGCTCCGACGTACAAGAAGTAAGCAGCGTTGTTCAAGTTCAGGTAGTTGTCGAATTCTTGTGTCAGAATATGTTGCGCTCTAAAAGCTCTTATCGTTGTCAATCCATTCAGTGAAGCAGATAAATGGGTGAAGATGGGACTTCTGTCTGTAGAACATTTAAAAATCTACTTTAAATAAACGAAAATAGATGTTTATGGAAAACTTACTGATTGATTCTATTCTCTTAATATCTCTAGTGGTACGTACAAAAACTATTCTCATAAAATAAAATAATACTGCTATAAAAAATGTTGGAATCATGATCCATATAGATAAACCTCCGATTACCATGCTTATGGACGCCACGTACAAACCAATCTGAAATTAAAAAAATATATTTATTTATCTTTTATTTATAAATTGTGAGGCTAATCTTCTTCACCTGTATTGTATCTAATAAGGTCATGGGCAAAGCTTCGTCCAAGGCTCCAATATCCTTAGAAAATCTATTCAAAATTCTCCCAGATGGATTAGTATTAAAAAACCTCATCGGACTGTAGACGATGTTAACAAACATCTTGTTATGTAGCGTTGTAGAAGCATCCAAACACCATTTGTAGAAAGCTAAAGACCTGCATAGTACTATTATAACCAATATACCTACCAGAATGCAGTAGTAAAAAGCTCTAAAGTCGCTGAGGAAAATCGGAGCCAACCACCAGTTCTCATATTGGCCCATTGGAGAAATATTGGTAGAGGAAGTAAGATTTGAGGTAAATTTTGTTGAATTGCTGATTTGAGACTCGATTTGTTGAATGTTTACCCAGAAAGTCACGAAATATTCTGAAGAGCTTTCCAGAAACTGGCACAATATAAAAGCGCCAGCCAGGGTGATACCTCTCAAAAGACTTCCGCCAGCTTTTGCGTAACTCATATACACTTTTCCAGCAATTTTCCCAGTTCCTTTTTCTTCCTTTTGTTGTACTTGTATTTCATAATTTTCATCGGGTTCATCCTGACTAATGTGCATTATAGATTTCTTTCTTGCAACTTCTTCTTCCTCCTCTATATCGGCTAAAAGTTTACTGTAATCGGTGTTTGAATTTTTGAGATCTGAATAAGAACCGGATGTTTCTATTCTTCCGTCTTTGAGTAAGTAGATAGTTTTTATTTTCTTTAAGTACTGTAATTGATGGGTTATTAGTATTACGCATTTCGAGCTGAGATATCCACATATGCATTTTTGGAAAAGTTGTTTTCCCACATGTGTATCTACAGCTGATAGCGGATCGTCTAGAAGATAAATATCAGCTTCTTTGTAAATAGCTCTTGCTAGGTTAATTCTAGCTCTTTGACCGCCGCTTAAGCTAACACCTCGTTCTCCTACCAGAGTTCTATCGCCGTGCGGTAAAAGAGTGAAGTCCCTTTGTAATGCGCATACATTTATAACTTCGTTATACTTTTTTTGGTCGAATTTTAGCCCAAAAAGGATATTTTGTCTGACACTTCCTCCAAACAACCACGGTTCTTGTGACGCATAAGAAACTACGCCCTCTACACTAACGTATCCTTGTACTGGTACTAATTCTTTCATGATAACGTGCAATAAAGTTGATTTCCCACTACCTACAGGTCCTACGATTGCTGCTAAGTTACCAGCTGATATATCTATGGATATATTTTCTAAACAGTTATCGGTAATTGATTTCAGCCATTTGACAGAAGCATTTTGGATAGTGATGCGAGCTTTTTCGCCTCGAGTTTTCATTTCGATGGAAAGCGATGATATAAATCCGTTTTCTTTACCGTTTATAAAATTTTCGGGGATAAATTGTGGTTCTAGGTCTATTTCCTCGTATTTGAGAAACTTTTGTATCCTTTTTATCGATATGTACATTTCTGCTGATTGTGATATAGCGGAAGGAAAGAAGTTTGTGATGGTGTATAGAAGTCTGTAGTAAGAGGTCACTGTATAAGCATACGTAGCAGTAAGAGGGTTACCTGTAAGGACGTACACCAATATGCAGACTGCTATAGCACATCGATTCAGCATTAGAATGCAGGACATTAAAAAAGCTCTGATTACAGACGTGTAGCGGATATACTTCATTTCTTTCCTAAAAATATGGATTTTAATAAATATTGCTGATGTGAATGTTATTAGTACTTACATTCTAACGAATTCAACTAGTTTTGCGAAGGGATATTCCCATGTGTACATTTTAATGACTTGTATTCCGGAAATAATTTCGTTCATAAGACGTACTCTTTCGTCTGTTCTGACGGCAGTGTTAAGTCTAAATTTGGATGTTTTCTTTCCTAACCATGCTAGAAAACAATAAGAACAGTCTTATCAATAGTGGAGTGCCTGGGGCGTTAAAAACTGTTGAGTGTAACGCTAAAATACGCCTTCTCTTTGAACATATGTCATCTATCATATGCCTAAGTTAAGAACTTCCTGTATGATGGTCATTTGATATAAGACATTCAATAAAATATAAGTAGACGATAAGTAGAAGAAGGAAGAATATTTTCCGTTTTGTAGTCGAAGCAGTGAAGCACTAAAGAGACCAAGACGGAATTTTTTAAACCCACAGCCGACCTGGAGCTCAGGAAAGCCGATGAACGTCATCTCCGTGGCACTCTCCCGAAATTCACGCGGAAAAGGAAAGAAACTTGGCATCCGGGGGTTTTTTAGTTCGCTGAATTCAAATATGGTATCGACGAACACACCCTTGATACTTGGTGCGCCATAACCTGGACGAGGACGTCAACTCCGAGAAGTGTCTTGCTAAGATTGCTAAAAAACAACCCGAAAATCATTATAGAGGCGTTTTTTTGGGCGCTTAATCCATATTTCACGTCGAAAACTATCCATTAAACCCCTGGTGCATCGGAACCTGGACGCGGACCTCATCCCCGTGGGTTTTCCTCATACAATCGAAAAAGACAAACCGAAAATCGTTATGGGGGGTTTTTGGGGCGCTGAATCCGAATTTTCCGTCGAAAACGACCCCTCCAACACCTGGTGCACCGGAACCTGGCCCTGAACGTCATCTCCGTGGGACTCTCCCAAAATTCACGCAGGGAAGGAGAGAAACTCGGCGCTGAATTCACATGTATCCGAGGAGTGTTCGCCGATGCCATATTTAAATTCAACGAGCCAAAAAACCCCGGGCGTTGACTTTCTCTTCTTTCATAGAACCTAATTTTGAACTTTCCACTTATGAAGACCTAATATGAATAACCTAAATTAAAATTACTAATTGACACAGGCAGTATCAAGTCAATACTTAGGCCCTCAATAGCAGAAAAATATTTCTTTATTTGCATATGTCATTCTAATTTAGATATTAAGACTTCGCTAATCAGTAAAAGAATTAAAAAACAACCTGAGGTCTAGCTTTTCGCGAATTCAATTGTGATTACAATATTAATTTTATACTCTACAATTTCCATTAACTTAAATATAGATTTTAAAAATAAATGAAATTTATGCAACCTAATTATATTAAATTCGAGTCTCAGTTGAGCCTTCCTAAATATTACTAAATAAACTACCAGTCAATATCCCAAACGGGGTAATTTAAATAATTAAAAAAGACTTTTCCGGTTGTTCGATTCGTAATTCCAGTGAAGATGATTCAACCTGGAATATTGAAGAAAACAAAGAAGGAAACCACCAAGAGATAGAAAAGAGCCTCAAAGCACATTAACGAAGTAAAACATAATTATTTTTATGTGTTAATTTTGTAGGAGACAAAATAAATTTTCAGAAGTTTCCATATGTATGTATCGTTGGGGATAACATTAGAACTATTGCTTTAAACTGTATTGACACAAGCAAGAAAACATTCATTGCAAATGAAAAGGATCTTTCAACAGGTTCTGTTCGTCAGATTTTTGAAATTTTAGAAAACTCTAAGGTGGTTTCTATTGGTGAACGTTTAAAATATGTTCTGTAATAAGTGTTCATGAAATATAAAAATTTATTACCATTTTATATATGTTTATATTAGACCGTCAGATAGTGACCGATTTAGGTATCCCATTTTCGCATAGAAGCCTCGAGGAGGGTTGAAAAGTACATGTTGAGTAGAATAAAAGAAAATTTACGAGTGGCTCTTGGGGATAACACATGGAAAATTCGATTTTCCTTATCAGAAAAATATTCGGACCCCAAAATGCACTTACACATTCAGGTCATTCAAGAAAATATATTTTTCGGACTAGTGACGATGTACGTTTTCATACATTCGATGGGCTTGTGAGGAAAAATCTGATAAAATCTCGATTTTTCCTTAAAAGATTACGGTCTTATTTCAACCCTTTAGTCATTTGCAACATTAGATTCTTTTGTTTTCCGAAGCCTAGTTCTATTAATTAATCATATAGTGAAAACGGCTTGCGTGGAAATATGAGCAACGAATAACCTTTCATTTTTGTTGGGGAAAATCGAATTTTTCATGTGTTATCCACAAGAACCACTCGTAAATTTACTTTCATTCTACTTAAAATCGATGTACTTTTCAACCCTTTTCGAGGCTTGTATGCGAAAATAGGGCACCTAAAAATGTCACTATCTGACCGTCTATATTGTCTATATAGAACATGTAAAATAAGAATACGTTTGTTAAGCAATGTTTATTAATAAATTTTATCTACAACTGTCATTATATGGATGTATTATATGCGTATCTAAAGCAACATGAAGCAATCCATATTTCACTAGTGAGAATATACTCATATTACACGATTTTTGTCAATTATACCCCACTAGAATTAAAAATCATTAGATCTAGTATGCGTTTGACAAGTTAGTTGGCAGCATGTTGACAGTTATTCGTTGTTCCCGATTCTTTTTTGAAATTAAACTTAAAATATTAGGCCCGTTTTAAGTGTTTATCAATTAAAAAAATGGAAGAAGATGATTACATGGAACTAACACCTCCTGAAATCCGCAAACTTCAAAGAATTTTTTCTAAAAATCCCCTTTTCGTTTTCGAGGAGCCCCTGTATTCAGTTGTAGATAAAGTATAGTATTCAATTCGTGTATAATGGACCATACTACACTCGGATATTTACAACACTCGTGTAATATGGTCAACATTATACACTTATTGAATAATATACTATTATTTTTATTAGTATTTTTTTGCACAAATTGCAAGGCATGAACACAGATCTCAGATATCTCTAATTTTTGTATCTTGCGATCTATCGACCATATTAGGCTCAGTTTAAATTAATTTCAATAGTTATATGTACTTACATTGAGCAGGAATGAATAAAAGTAAAAATATAGCTCCAGATAGAGCAGTCCATCCAACATTCATATACAAAAAATACATAACTATAATAGTTTCTGATGGTCCAATATAAAGATTATGTAAAAAATACACAGCCATATCAAATCTGCCTACATCGTTTGACAGTAAATTCACCATTTCTCCAATAGTTGTTTCGGCCATAGCAGATTTACTTAACCTGAAAAATATTTACAATATTTTAAATTAGATGAATATAATTTCTTTTTATACAGGTACCTTAAAGCTTTTCTATAAATCAAAGAACACGAGGCTACTCTCATCTTCATACCAAGTTGCATAAGTACCAAGTTATAATTGTGACTCATATTGCAAGCTACAAACGAAGTTAATACTATTAAGGCAGCGTATAAATATATTTCATTTCTGTCTTCTGTTGCTCTATTAGTTTCGAAGACATAGATCAGTTTTGTAATAAGATATGGTTGAGAAATTCTAAAAAAAAAAATAAATACGTGTTTTATGGTATCGATAACAGAAAATGTTCAGTCGGTGTTTAGGGCAACCCTCAAAATTAATAGTGAGTCAAAAAAATGGAGCAGTATCAGTGAAGTACGTACAGAGGGTTTGTTGAAATTACATTCAACAATTTCTATCGGCAGGGCAGATTAATCTAAATCAGCATTTAACAAACAAAAAAGAATAAAATACTAAATAGACACTCCTTGTATAAACCTCCGCACTTAACAAATAAAAAAGAATAAAATACTAAATAGACACTCCCTGTATAAACCAAATATCCAAAGTTGTGCAATAACCACCCTTTTAACTTTCAAGTAACCTTCAAAGACATCTGCTGCTTCGCGAACAGTTAAAGCTAGTCACGCGAGATTTTTCACCCAATCATACGACAAATCTTAGCCGGTGCGAGTTGACGAACAACGGCAGCACACAACTAAAGTCACCTTTTCGCTTTGTCAGTCGAACAAGCAACAAGTCGCAAAAAACTTTAACCTAAAAAGCCGGCATTCGCTGTAATCAATTCCAAGCATTGTGCGATTTGATTTATAAAAGTTAATATGTAACTTATCAATAATTTTATCTAACAAAGTTGTAAATGTGTTAAATGTGAACATATCAAACAGTGAATATATAAAATTCAAATGTAGGGTGATAGTTTTATTTTAATACACCCAGTGCTTCAACTAGAACTTCAAGAATATCTTCCAGAGGCTACAGGGTGGGATCATAAGGCCTTCACCCCAGGTAATCTACTTTGAATACAGTCCACCATAATCGAAGGCAGTATAGGTCAAGCCCTATAAAGCTAGGGTTTACAGGGTCTATCATTATTTCTACGGCAAAGTATATTGTACAGAGAGAAGGGTACCTAATTGTTTAAGTTATAACATTTAGTCATAATGGTGTACCCTATACAGTATTGCCTTGTTATAAATCTCCATCCATATCAGATGATACATTCCTTACAGATTTTGAAAATTTCTTAAATAATATACCAAGAAGGCTAGGAATGGATATATTTATTAGTGACATTAATATTAATATCCTTGATCCCTCAAACCAAATAACAAATAGATATTTGGCAATGTTATCTTCCTTGGGATTTGTATCATATATTAATTCATACACCAGGGTTACTGTAGAAACGAAATCATGTATTGATCATATTTTTATAAAAACTAATATGCCAAATAAACATTTTTCATTTAAATCGTTGGTAATTGACACTGATCTAACTGATCATTTTCCAATTTTTTTAAATATTACAACAAACGAAAGAAACTTTAACCATAATACATTAAACCAACATACACCACAATACACTGATATAGATAAATTTACAAAATTACAGTTCATCAAATTTCTAGAGGTGTTCGACGCCCAGACAGAGAACGCGCTACGTGTGACTAAGATAGCTATTGTACAGTCTGCTAAACAAGTTATTTTAAATAGTTTTTAATAATTTTAGGTAATTAAATTTTAAAAGTGTGGAATAGTTTAGGGATTAAATTGGTCTGATTGGACTTTCGTAGAACGTTTTTAAAAGCAGCTAAAGATAGTATGTAGAATTGAAAATAATTATTATGCCATAAAAGGTGTTTTGGAATTCCTTCAACCTTTTGAAATTGAGCCAGAAAATATAAATTTTATAGGATAGCGGAAAATACCTATAATTTTTTTGTAGGCCTTTGTAAATCGTGGAAATAGTTTATATTTTATTTCTACCTTATTAAGGAAAATGGTACCTATTATTAATAACGGTTTTTTCTGAAACATTACTAAAATTTTCGAAATTTTGTTTTTCTACAAAATAATAAACTATACTATTTAGAAAAAAATTTATTTCTCTTATAATTTTATAAAAAATAACAGGGGAATATTTACATTTCTTGATTTATTAAACAAAACGATCAATTATCTCGACGAATGACACCATGTTCTAGTACGGAAGCTAGCTTTACATTTTTGTTGGTGGTTTCATGGGTTTCATATCAATTTTTTGTAATTCTAGTTTACACGTACATATACCTCTTAACACTTGTTTGCTTTATTAAAAAAGTGTGTTGTTGTGATTTACGTCGAAATAAGTCAAAAACAACTTGAAACCCCATATAAAATCAAAAAGGAGAAACAGAAAAAAATTGAGCCTGTAAATGAACACAACTCAGAAACAAAAATAGCTATCTAATAATAAAAAAATAAAATTTGATTCTTGTGCAGCTTCATCTATATCATTAACTGTTTTTGGTTTTTTAATGGTTTTTCTTGGTGATGAAAATTCCGATATCTCACGGTTATCGATTCTTTTTTCTCCCCAGAAATGCGGACGACAGTGTTTTTAGATACTCCTGTGGCTGCAGCAACACGATCATTTACATTTTTAAATGGTATTGAAGGTGAATTAAAGTTTCCTTCTCTTCTCATAAACTCTATAACATTGGCTATTATTTCGCGAGATTGACTGTTAATCACGCGGCCTCTTAATTTGCTATTAAACTCCATACTTAGGTTCTATTAAACTGTAATGAGCAAAAAACAAACGAAAATAAAAGAAATGTTTTAGCGAAATTTACATCTGACATTTACGTCTGAATGAAATAGTGAAATACTTGATGCGCAGAGTGTACTTTCATTGCGTAAATCCGTCGGGATGCCTGCTTTCTCTGTCTAGCCGTCGAAAGCCTCTAGAAATTTGATGAACTGTATTAGAAAATGTAAACTGGGACCAGGGCCGCCGAGAGCCAGACCGGGCCCCAGGACAATTCTCTAGGTGCATATTTTAAGAATAATTTCTCATTCTAAATTTATTTGATTTTGTATTATAAAATGTTTATTCTTCTTCTTAAATTTCTAGTTGTGAGGTTACGAAAAAATATAATAAAAGCAAAATATGCTTACTTAATTATATCTACCTTATAGTTTCTTCAATTATTATCACAATGTTGAGTAATAGCATTTCTAGGAAAAATACTTTGGTTAAGGCTTTAAATAAAGACGGATTTTTGCTTTTTTCCGTTTGTTTCTTCCATTGCGCTTCAAGCTTTTCGCCCAAATGACCAGAATCGTGAGATTTCCTGTGCTGGTAGATGTCATCTTCGGTCAAATCGATTTTGTAACCTTTTATAAAAAGAGGCAGCAACCAACTGTAATAAAATAAAGTTATCATTCCCATAAATCTAGATTTTTATCCTTACCAAAATAACAACCATGAAAATATGTTGGCATTGTCAAGTGGATGGTCCTTCCTTCGTTTTGAGTCATCTTTGAATTCTTCCATTTCCAATTACAATCTGAAATTAATGCAATTAACATTTATAATTTTCCGAAAGTAAAGACTAAATAGTGCTTTAGAAAAGACGTGCAGAAACTATTTATTAAATAGTATACTGTGCAACAAGTAGTATATTTCACACAAGATTCAATAGAAGCGATCATTATTACCTATCCGTTGATAGTAGTGATAAACACTAGGAAGAGATAGTAACATATTTAATTCTAGGAAAAGAATAAAAAATGCAAGCAAAACTAGTATAACGCTCCTTTATAAATATTAAACAAGTACCTTGATCAAAAGCTGTTCAAAATGAGTATTAAGAACATCTTGATACATTGCTAGTTGATAACGTTTTTCTATCATATTTCGAATCAAGATAACTTCTCAAATTATTTAAAAATGGTCTTATTGTATTTTCTGAAAAGAATAATGTTAAAATAATGTGTTTAAAGTGTGTATGCATCTATGATTAAAGATATTGGGTATTCTGCTCGATTCTACCTCCAGAAAAAAGCAATTAAGATATTTTGAATAACTTAAACCTATTTGTTGAATCTATTACATCACTTAATATTTTTTTCTAAACAATAATTCATTATTTAAACATTTCAAAATACATAGTATCAAAAGTATACGATATTGTAAGTTGAAAAATACTTGAGATAAGTACCTAGGTACTTCATTTTTTCATTATCTAGCATTTTTTCGATATATTATATTTCCTTAAATATCACCGAGATATTTTTCAAAAAGTATAACTTGTACTATCATAAAAAATAGCTATTTATGTACAATTACATCGTTTACCTATTTATAATTATTTCTAGAGAATTTGGTGAACTTTCTAGCTTATTCGCCAAACTTTTAAATTTGTATATAAATATTGGTGGAGAACTAAGAGGCAATTAGTTATTATATGGACAGTGAATATAAATAGTAATAAGTAGATAGACAGAGGTGAATATAAATCAGTTTAAAGACATTAGAAGTATATATAAATTAGAATAGTTGTGTTATAAAATAAATAAGTGTTTAAATAAATTATTAATATGTTTTAAAGTAAACAAACATAACAATACCTAAGAGTTGGTGATATCCGAAGAGTATCATACGAGTCCCCTTGAAGAAGGTCTCTACAAGTCACTCCTTATATACTACCTCTTGTTCAACACATAAGTCTATTTTGAATAAATCATCTAAATTTGAATAAGTAAATCTCTGTGAATTAGAATTTGTTGCTACCTTATCTAAAACTTTATTTAATTACAATATCTCAATGGTTAGTGATTTTCTATATTTTTATCACTAATAGATAGTCAAATTTAGTAAGTTTTAAATATAGTGGGGCTCAACATTCTTTTTCAAAGTAATACGAGTTATTTAATAACCTGACCCACTCCCCAAAATCATTAGAGCTTAAAATACTATAAAAAATAGATAAAATAACAAGTATCATGTTACAATTTTAAATAAATTGTATTATTTGATTCTTTTAATATCATATTCTTCTTGTTTCGGTAATCGAAACTATTTTAAGTCTAGTATTATATTGATGGATAACATTTTTAGTACATAGCATTTCAGTTAGTCAATGTCTTAGGAATGTACTGGAGATACATTTCAAGATCTACAGGAAATAACTTTTTAAATTTTCTGCAGATACCTTTCAAGATGTACTGTAGACCCTGACAATTATGGCACAAGCACGCGTGATATTTAAATTTATATGAGATACTTCTGCTCTAAAAAATTTTAAATAAACAAATTATCAATATCCTTTGCAAGACCAGAAAATGGATAACGTTTTAACTATTTTTTCCCGTAAAATAACAGAAAAAGAAAAATGCCAATTTTCATCTCAGGTTTTGAAGTAAAAAGCTTATTAATATTGATATGTTTATTGTAAAATTGTTAGGACCATGAGGCACGTTAATATTCAGACATTTTTGGTACTACTTACATCTACTAGAATTAGAAACAAAGATATTCACAAATAAGTACACCGAGACAGACGCAGCGGGATTTAAAATAAGTAAACAAACCAAATACTGCAAACCTTGTGATAACCAAGGGTCACACTTTGTAATCATAAAAAAAATAGTTTTGGAAGTAAATAAAACTGATATGTATATTTATTATTAAAAGTCTATTTTCTTATTATCACTAAAAAATTATTTTAAAGTAGGTACATACTTAGTAAAAATATTGATATTTACAAGAACTGAATTATTAAAATTGTTTTCTTTTTTGAGGCTTTATTTTTATTATTTTTTTTTATGGTTTATATTTGATAATGGCTATTTTTATGTATATTCTTTAACAGAAATAAGTAATGCACTTTAAGATAATAATATTGATATCCTCATGCTGATATATTTTATGAATACATCCACAATATATTCCTAGTAGTAATAACACTGAGTTACGCTCAGACAAGAATCAGGCAATTTAAAATCAGCTTTAAAGAATATTTAAATAATATAAAAAATATACGGCTTGACTATAAAGAGATGATAGAGTCAATAATGATAAATAATAATAATAAATAGAAACATCAATTTTTACAAGCAAAATTTAAAAGCGTGCTACTGTTGTGCAAAATGTCCTACAAACCAAGTACTTTCATAGCGCAATTTAAATCCTAAGACTGGTTTTTAAGATAATTTATCTTTAAATAAATAAAATTGCTATTTTGAAAACGTTTTTAAACTGATAAAATTGTAAAATAACGACTGAATAAAGACAATATCAGTTTTTTTGCTCAAATTTCATAGTGTAAAAGATTACATACTAATATTTATTAAGTACCTATTGAAAAGTGTAGGAACTAGTGCATTACCTTGTAGCACGTCAATATTTAGACATATTTACATCATCTATTCTGACTGTCGTCTATTGAAAAGAAAGCTTTCAAATATTTTTTAATTAAGTAATTCGCATGCCAAGGGCCTTCTAAGAACTAAAAATGTTTTTATATACGTAATCATAAATACTTTGGATTCAAATTTATGATAATGGTAAATTTTTGTTGCACTTAGAAGGTTCCAACATTTTTCTGATAAATAACCAAAGCACATTAATCATTTCTTTCATTCCTATTTCTTTTTTATGTTAAGGACACCGCACTTTCCTGATGGAAAATGGTTTTTCGGTCGAATCTACTGAATTTTATGCAATGTTACAATTTTTGACTTTTTAATTTATTAAATTTTGACCAGGAAATTAAAATTTGAGTTTCTCAAAATGGATTAAGTAGTTAACTATCTAATACTGATCGGATACTATGGATAGTCGGCCCTAGCGATAGTTTTTGATAGTCTCAAAAGCTGCTATCGATAGTACCACAGTTTATAGCTATAAACTGTGATAGTACTATCGAAACTATATCAATGTTGCAAGTGATACTGAATTAATGAATCAGGGAATCCCCAATGATTGCATACGGGCATCATATGGGGATGTTTCTTTAATTTATTTATAAAGAAATAGATGGCAACACAAACAGGAAGCAGAGACACAAAAAAAAAACACAAAAGATGAGACAATTGCGATATCTATAAATGCTACAACAGTGTAGCTACAGAACTAGTAAAAAAAGACGCTAAGTTGTCCATTTCAAGGATATAGATTTCCTTGGACTAAGTCATGTTCAAGAATATAGTTTTTTACATTAAAAAACAAGTTCAAGGGTTTTATTTTCCTTGAGAAGCTTTTGAAAGCAACTCTCTTGAAAATTAAAAATTGACTAAGCTTAGTTCAAGGATTGCGTTTTCCGTTAAAAAACAAGTTGGTCTGAGTCCTGAGTCGAATTCAAGGACCTCATTTCAACTGAAAATAAAAGATCCGCTAAGTCCAGTTCAAGGATCTCTCTTTCCTTGAAAAGCTAAGTAAGACTAAGTAAATTTCAAGGCTCTTCTCTTGTAAAACAAGGCTGACTCCAATTTAAGGATCTCGTTTCTTCTGAAAATTAAAGATCTGCTAAGTCAAGTTCAAAGATCTGATTTTCCTTGAAAAGTTAGGTCCGACTTAGTAAATTTCAAGGATCTCCGTTCCCTTGAAAAACAAGTTGGACTTAGTCCAATTCTCCTGAAAATTAAAGATCTACTAAGTCCAGTTCGAGGATTTCGGTTTCCTTTGAAAAACAAGTTGGACTAAGTCCAGTTTAGGGATCTCGTTTCCCTTGAAAAACGAGTAGAACTGAGTCCAATTTAAGATATTTGCTTCCCCTAAAAATTAAAGGACGATCAAGTCCACTTCAAGGATCGCATTTCCCTTGAAAAGCTAAGTTGGACTAAAATCATTTCGAGGATCAAAGGATCAAAATGGTAGGAGAAATAATAGTAGAAATAGTGGTAGAAATAGGATCTCTTGATAGGAAGCTTTGTAAAGAATTGCAATTTTTTATATTTCAACTTTATATAACTTTATAACGTTTATATTCGACTGTAGATAGGTGAGGATATATGTGTAACATTACTCCCTAACTAGGTCAGTTTCGTTTGTGTATGAAGTGTAAATATTTTTTAATCGCGACTGTTTAAAAAATCAACGATTGCTAAACGTTATGTTTAAGAACAAAAATAAAAATAATAATGTGCCATTAAAAATAGTTTAACAATGTGTAGAAAAAATAATAAAACAGAATCGACACCTGCCAAAGTGCTTTGGAGCAAAAAAAACAGGACCTGCTTCAGGTAACTCAAACAAATAATATAGAAACAATGGAAGTGGGAGAAAATCTCTTAGCCCAACAATATCAGGCCTTATTTCATGAAAATCAAGCTAGTCAGAATGAACAGGCATTGTACAATGCTTGGATACAGGCAAAAGCTGAAAAACAGCAACTAGAAACTGCATTGCAACAAATGCAAAACAATATGGAACATATGCAAAAACAAATTAATATTTTAAACAAAGAAAAAACTAAAACTCCAACGAATTATGAAACTGATGAAGAAGAACTGGCAAAAGAAATCGGCGATCAAATTAACAACGAAGTAGAATGGATAACAGCGAAAAGCAGAAACAATAGAAGAAGAAAACGAAAAGCCAACTCCTTTCCAGAAACCTCTCCTGGCCAACCTGGAGGTATCAAAAACTAACAACAAGGGAAAGAAATAGTCGAAAAAACAGTGAAATTTCCCCCGATAACAGCAAGCAACATCCATACACTATCAGAAAATAATATTGATGAACCTAGATGTAAGAGCACATAAAAAAAGCGTAAAGAACTTGAACTTAAATTCAAAAAAATGTATTGGCTCCTAGAAAGAAAATCCAAATTGTCAGTGCACAATAATCTGCTGATTTATAAACAAATCCTAAAACCAATCTGGATTTACGGCATACAGCTATGGGGATGTGTCAGCAAGAGTAATATCAACATGATACAAGTTTTCCAAAATAAAGTCCCAAGATGCATTGTTGATGCACCTTGGTTCTACCGAAACGATTATCTTCATAGAGACCTGCAGATGCCAACAATCGAAGAAGAAATAAAGAGGTTTGCTGCGAAACATGAGGGTCGACTCCACTCTCACGTCAACGAAGAAGCGCTGCAATTACTGGACAACTCTACACTTAACAGAAGGCTCAAAAGGAAGAAGCCATTTGAGTTAGTGCAGTGAACGTTAATGTTAGTGCTAGTGTAAAACAATAAATCGTCACGCCAACTTGTGAGGCTTTCCTATAGAAACAATTAAGACAGCCCAATGGGGAGTTCTTAGATAAGTAATTAGTTATAAGATTTTTAGATTAAAATTGTAGGTTAGTCAGTAATGACTAGTAACAATACTCTAACAAAAAAAATATATAACTTTTTACTTTCCCTATATGTGATATCCGAAGTATACATTTTTATTGTACTTGTTTGGAATACAAATAGGGACACTAACTGAACCAACTTTTTGGCTCACCCCGTATTCATGTATTTTTTATAATAAAGTGTCGTATGGTTACGAAATAGTATTTGAATATTAAATATAATACATCGAAATTATTTATCACATTTTTCTAGGTATTTGTATTTATACTTTTTATGTCAGAATAAGGATTTATTATTATTATTAGTAATATTGTTATATTTCGAGGAAATATCGTTCACCAATTTTTATTTATTAAATTAAAAACAGGGAACCTATCTTTTAATAAAAATAGATTCCCCTTAAACTTTGTAATTATTTATCAAATACTCTGTATAGCACGTCAAAATTTGGGACGATATATTTAATGATTCATTGAATCTCACTGTGCATTCTTAAAAATTACAATTGGCAAAAGCTGATGGTTAATAATAACGCATAATTGGCACTATCAAATTAATTATTGTGTTCCTTTTATATGAATATCGAGTTATATTTATTACCAAAATTTTTAAATAACGTACATAAGATTTAATTGTTAAAGAGTTTGACTCAACCTTTATGGTCTTAATGGGTTACACAGATGAAATATTTTAAATTAGTGTCATGTATTTGAACAATATGTTCTGTTTATTTATTTGTATTACTGTTTGTTTTATATATGATAAAAAAATGTAAATTATTCTACTCCTAAAAAAATAAACGTTATTATAATAATAGATATAAATGTTACTTTATTTTCATTAGAGACCTTTCTATTTTTGTTCTGAATATTATTCTCTCTCTTTGTAACACCACTGGATAAAACCAAACTTGCAGAAATTAATTACAGTAAAAAATCCCCTGATAAACAAAGCTTGTACAAATTATTATATATACTCACTTTAAATAAAAAAAGACAGGAAAAGTAGGTATCCTCTCACATATGTTTCCAAAATTGGTTTTCTTGTGAAACAAACTCAAACTTTTTAACACTGAAGCAGCACTTTTTACAACAAAAATAATAACCGTAAGTTCTCATCTCAAATTGGTCAGTTATAGTTTCTTTGTACACTTTTCAATGTCAATTTGTTCAGAAATTGTTCTGCTATAGCAACCGAAACTGAGAGTAAATTGAGTTAAATAAAAAAGCGAAAAGTGTTTGACGCCAATGTTTGAGAAATTTATTTTTAGACGAACTTTTACGTATATTCATTCGTTGTATATGATCGAATCCGTTGTTATGATGAATGTCGTGAAGTTTTCTCTTGGGGATACCCAACAGCTGATATTAATCCCAACTATGCTGATAGTCAAGGAAAATTACTGTGCTTGCCATATTATTTTGTCAGCAAATTACTATTTTTATCGTATCTGCTACTTGTTCAGCTATTTTTATATTTTCTTTGTTTTTTAACAAAGGCTTGTTGATTTTTCACGTCATTAAGTAGACTTAAATAAATAAAGAATCTTATCACGCATTACGCACATGCTGGGTAAAGATTTTCTATTGTTTATTATCGTATTTTAAGAAGTTATGAAATTATAGTACCTACCTAAGCTCAATACGAAAGGATACATCTTATAAATACAAAAATCATCTAAGTGGTCTATACGTGGGGAGGGATAAAGGGGGTAAGCTGTCCCCTTTGGTAATGGCACATTCCAAAACTAAAGTACTGTTGTGTTATTTTATTTATTTATTATTTGTATACATATTTATATATTTTATTTAAATATCATTATTGATAAATTTCTTACCTCAGCTAGCCCATTTACTATTTAACTGATATTTAGATATGTTAAATAAACACACAAAAAAATAAACCATTCCTCTAGGATGGTTCAAACGTTATCCTACTGTATATGATTTAAATTTTTTAACTATTTAACCAGGCCACTCCCTGGGCGGGATAAAGATGCGCAGCTTTTACTGCGCTGATGTTTTCGGAATATAATCTATCACTTGTCATAAACCCGGTTAAAAACTCTCTACCATTCGCAGGAAACTCATGTTTCGTACACAAATACAAACTTTTGTTTAGGGCAATGAGGTTGAATACTATGGAGATGACATGCCAAAAAAAACGACACCCCTTCCCCCTCTCTTAGTGGTCATGTCATAGTTGTCAAAGAGCTGTCAGAACTTTGTTCAAATTTAAATATTTCGACGTTATTTCTATCTTAATAAGTGTTTTTTTTTTTATTAAATTGTATAAAAATCATGACTAAGTGTGCCAAAATTAATTGTAAAAACTCTTCAGTGAAAGAGCGTAAGAAAATATCTAATTTAAGTTTTCATAAGTAAGTATAAGGAGTGTACTTAGAATTTTTTTTAGAATGCTTAACTTTTTTTTTATTATAGGTTTCCAAAAGACCCACAATATCTCAAAATTTGGTCTAAATTTGTGGGAAAAGACCAATTTGAGCCTAAACCGAATTTTTTGATAAGAGTGAGTTTAGGGTCAGATTGAAGAAGAATGCTGTTCCGACAATAAATGAATGTTTAGTTAGTATACACTTTATTTACAATAAAACTTAAATAAATAACTTAATAAAGAACATTGGCTTGACTAACTTTATAATAAAGACAAATAACTATAATAAAACTTATAATTAAACTTAAAAACCAACTTATAATTACACTTAAATGGCTAACTATTTAAGTAACACATAATTTAGAATAAAATTTCAAGTATTTAAAAGTAGTTTTTATTAGATCCTAATTTCCTATTATTATACCGTTTTGATAATGAATATACTGTATAATAATAAATACTGGGGATGTATTTTTATTATTTAGATTTGTGGCCATCACTAACTGCTATGTACCCTCCTCATCCTCATAATATAAAATAATATGCCCGCTCATGTACCACATTACAATTATTATTAATATTAAATGAACAAACATTAAATTGATGTTCCTTAATTTAAAAACCTGCCGACTTTGTTCACAATACACAATAAATATAATTTAAAACATATTACGAAGTTAATGATATTTAAAAATTAGTAGTTTTGGTAAACTAGTAGTTTTTGTATCATGGATCTATATTTAAGGCTTTATAACATACCAAATCTTGTTCCAGACTAACCCATCCATACCTACATTTCCTCCTCCAAAAATCAGGATCCTATCAAATATTCTTATTAAACCAGCCAATCAAACCAGTCAGATCAAATTACCTGTACCCTCTACTTCTTCTCTAAATATTCCATATGAAGAACCGCTGACGCCAAAGAAACAAAAAATATTACATACACTCTCCTCTGTCCGGACAACAAGTGCAAAAAGAAAGCAAAAATTAAAATTGCTAAGACGACAACTAAATAAAACCAACAACTATTATCTGAGTCTTTTTAGTTCCGATTGGTTTTGACAGAGTAGTTTTGATCATGGTTTTCTTCCATCTACTTTTAACCATAAAGTCATACCTAGCTGAATTTTTGGTCTTTTTAAACTTTTGACTGTAGCGGGTCATATTTTTAATGTATGTCATCTGCAGCAGAAATATCTACATGTTTTACATTTAAAAGTAATTAATTGTCCTTTCTACAAACTCGGCTGTATTTTTACTGAAATATATTTATTCACAATTCACGTAGTGGTTTGGTTTTTGGTTTGGTAATTTGATGTCATAATTCTCCTCATTGTCAGATTTTGACATTGGCAGCTTCGATCAAGACAAGAGAGTCCTTGAACGAAAAATCGTAGTTCGGGTTTTAGTTTTAAAAGCACAAAGAGATTAACAAATCTGATGCACAGTGTTATTCGAACGTTGATTTTCGATCACACAGGTCATATAATAATAATAATAATAATAATAATAATAATAACTTTATTTAGAATATATAACGGTACATACAATAGTGTATAATTACATATAAAATTGTTTGTAAATAAATAAAGTTGGTAGAGACTCTGGAAGTGTATAAAACACTTGTGTCGAGCTCATAGGAAAAAATTGGGTTCGTTAAATTTATATATATATAAATCAAATAATAATAATTATTCTAAAACTAAAAATATAAAAATATAAAAATGACATTAAAATAATTATATAAATGGAAAAAAAGAATGTGTGAGAGAAAGGTTTACAGTTATTAATCGTCTATAATGTAAAAATTTTAAGATCAATAAGATTGTGGAATTTTTCTCTGGTAAGTTAATAATGAATTTTTTTAAAAGTTTTTTAAATATGGAAATACTATTAATTTCTTTGATTGTTTCAGGGATTGTATTGTACATAGTCGGAGCCAAGAAGACATATGACTTTTGTGTGATTGTCATTTGCATTTGAGGTACCCTACTATAATTTTTTCTTCGAGTGTCGTAGGTGTGTATTAACTCCACAAAATTAGCGGTTTGGTGGTGCCTAATACATACATTATAATAATATAATTGTCTTATATCTAACATTTTTGTATCTTTATATAGTTTTTCAGTTGAGTATCTAGAGTTTTTACCTAATATTAGTTTTAAAAATTTTTTTTGTATGATTTCTACTGGTTGTATGTGATATATATATAATAATATTAATCTCTTTTATGGTCTTGGCATTGGCTTGGTCGGAAAACGGTTAATAAATAATAGTAAATAGTGTAGAAGTCATAATTGCGCAATGTCATCAAATTAATTTCGAATCGATCATGTTGAAACAAATCTTAGGTAAGTAAGTCATTTAAAAGTTGTAATTCTGCATACGGACTTTAATTATATTTGAATACGACCCTGCTTAGTCAACCATTTAAGCCACGCCCAGTGGGGGTCATTTTTAATAAAACGTATCATATGCAAAACAATTGCCTCATGGCATCTCCATTAGTGTTAGCGACAGCTTTGTCGGAACGTTTGATGTTTGTGGGATCGATTTGCGGTGACCTTGAAGACACCATAATTACACTGCACGCAAGCTGAATTGGCTCGCAGTCACGCGATCGCGCGGAAATTTGTAATTTACACTGCTCAACTCTAAATATGTTTTTAGTAAGGGAGTAAATTTTTATTTTGCATTTAAAATTATATGTCTTTGACTGCAAAAAGACTCATTCCGCTGCCACTTTTGGAATCATATTCATGAACTACAGATCCAACCATTTTGTTACGAAATTATCCAGAAAACAATAAAAATCACACAGTAATAACTGAAAGAAATAATTCAAAATAGTCGAAACTACAGTTGTTCCGCTCGGATTAAAATCACTGGACACCTTCGTATACGGTGTCTCTCGCTGATCTAGCTGGCCACATGCAAATAGACACCATATTTTCGATCATGCGCCTTCGAAAACCGACCCGGTGGGAAAGGGTCTTTGTCGCTTCTCGGCGTTTGGTTATTCTCGGGTTATACCTCCATGGTTTAGGGGAGAGTGTTTCACAGTGAAACATGGTCCACAGTGAAACATTCCGACTAAAATAAAAAACGATGGACGTATAGCCACCGCCATGACGTATATAATAGCTTTGTTCGGCTTACCAATTTTATAACGTTGCAGAACGATTCAGAACTGCGTGAAATTAGTTGCGCCCTAAACTACACACGAAACAGTCAAACCTAGAGCGTCCTAGGACTAGATTTGGAGAAACCCGAACACGTAAATTTAAATGCGCATGATTATAACAATTTTAAACCGTCCTCAAAAGTAAGCCGAACAAAGCTAATAGCACAGCTTAACAATACAGCTAAAACACTCTCTTGGCGGCAACGGTTTGCGTCGATTTCGTCGCGCATCGCTTAAGCTCCGCCTTCGAAGGGAAAAGACGGTTTTGGTGTTCAGAAGCGTACTTAGGTAAGGTGTTGAGTCGTGCGTATAATTTCGTTGATTGTATAATTTCGTGGAGCCTATAATTTCGTTGATTGTATAATTTCGTGGAGCCTATAATTTCGTTGATTTTGTTTGAGTTAAAGGTACTGTTATTATTTTGGTGACTCTTTAGCTATGAGTAGAATGAGTGAAAAAAAAAAGACATCATTCTGTTTGTGCAGTCAAAAGCTGTTTTAATAAGGGTTATACATGCAAGAAAACATTCTTTAGTTTTCCCAAGGACCCAAACCGATAAGTACCACATTATAAGAAATTTTCATTGTTAAAAATATAATTTATACAGGGTATCCCATTAGTGCGTTATTGTTCATTATTTTGTTGTAGACACGCAAGAAAGTTTTAAATAAAAGTTATATGGATTTGAAAAATACCTACATATTTTAAAAATATCTTTGGATATACAGGGTGTCACGTTTTTGCCTGGCAAATTAAAATGTATGTTTTTTAAATGGAACACCTTG